CTATTTTTGACTAGGTCAATTGTTAAAAATTACAACCCAACAAGAAAATACGTATATGTTAAAACAGTATCAATCATCAATAATTAACATACAATTAACATTTGAAAAACAAAACCTAACAAAAGCACCCACAAAGGCAATTTGGGTCTTTATCTATATCTCATTCTGCAAACATGAACATTTTTCTGAATTTCACTTGACGGGGAATCATTTTATTCTGTCCAGAATTAAGAAACATATTGGGGATAAGTGAGATTTAATTTTATTTTTCAGAATACATACACATATTAGAGTCTTACAATATATACAACACATTACAATCATCTTTTCAAAACATGATAAGAAAAGAAGAAATATCTTATAAATTTCTTGCCCCACAAATTAAAGTATTCTTTACAGAACTATTTGTGGTGTTGTCCCGTCCATGCTTCGCCCTTCTGTCTTCCCCTGTTTTTGTTTGTTACCCTGCTGGGCTCTTTGCCAGTGGTCCAGTGTTGCTGGTTTTTGTTGGCGGGGACGCGCTCACAAAATGACATCCTTCCTTGTTGATCATTTTGTTTTTATATTTGGTGCACCATTAACCGTTTAAACTCCCTGTAGAGGTTTTATCTATTAATCGTCCAAAGGCGGTGACCCACCTTTCCTTTCTTTATGTATTGTCTTAATTTATATGCTTTGTATTGGCGTTTAAATTTCTGTTTGCCTTAAAATTCCGTGTTTCCTTGCCTTCCTTTTTTGCTCATCAATCCCTTCCTAATTTTCCTACCTAATCCCATCCCAATTACAAATTCCCGGCTTCCCCTACATATTTTTTTTGCCCCTTTGGCTGACGTTGCTTTAATATTTTGTAGGACTGTGTACTGTGAACGTTGCTCACCCTTGTAGCTTTTTCCCTAATATTTCATAAACATTTAACAAGCATACAATGTACTAGTAATAATCGTATCCACTGGATGAAACTCACGAATACACGGATGGATACGTCACAAAATACAAAAGCAGGCGCAGTTTTGGCTCGTTAACCACAAAATACCTCAACTTCAACTGTAGGAGTACCATAACACTTAATGTTCAATGACTTCCCATTCCAAAGTCCCTCGAGGCGCCTCGAATGATAGTGTTAAATTTTGTGACGTACCGGATAGCATATCCGATGATGAAAAGGGAAAATATCTGGTATGTTAATTCTGTGCGAATCCATCAAAAGCGGTGCATGTCCCAAAGTGCTGATGACAGCACTATACTTTTTTCTCATCATGATCCTGATTTTATTTTCACAGAAATTAGGTAAAGCTTTAGAATCTTGTTCAGATTGGCTGGTTGATAATAAACTGTCTCTCCACTTAGGTTAAACTGAATGTATAATTTTTGGTCCAAAGAAACATCTTAAAAGATTAATAAGTTCAATATTATTTGTAATGGTCACACTATTGAATCAACTAAGACAGTCAAATATCTTGGTTTGAAAATTGAAAATGTTCTGTCTGGAGAAGAAATTGCTTATACAGTTATTTCTAAAGTAAACACTAAGCTTAAATTTTTGTACAGAAACAGTAAATGTCTATCTTTTAACTGTAGAAAACTGCTCTGTTCGGGTTCTGCTTTAATCCAATGTCAATTTGACTATTCTTGTTCGTCTTGGTACGAAAATTAAAATAAAAATCTGAAAAAGAAACTGCAAGTAGCTCAAAACAAAGTCATATAAGGTTTATAAAAGATTACCATCCAAGAACTAGTATAACTCCTTCTGATTTTACAGATGTTAACATGTTAAATTTTGAAAATAGAGTAAAACAAATAAGACTTAATCATATGCATAAGATTTTTTTATAATAAGTGTCCAACTTATATGAAACAAACTTTGTTAGGATGTCTGATATACACAATTACAACACTAGATCAAATAATTTAAATTTTTCAATTCCTCATTGTAATAAGACATGTAATGGCACTTTTTTATAATGATATTAAAGATTGGAATAGTTTGCCAGATAATGTAAAATGTATATCAAATCCAACTTTATATAAAACTTCTGTTAAAAGCCATCTTGCTTCAATTTGGGCTGCGCAACATCAAAGTGATTTTTTTTATATTACTGAGTGGCGACATATGTACGCCAAACTTTATTATATTTTTAGTTATCTTATGTTTTCCTGTGCCTTTTTTTCTGTGATTGATAATATTGTAATTAAGTGTTAAGATACTGATCCAATGAGTATTTTTTCCACTTTTTTCTGTGATAATGCAAAACTACTGTGATAATAAGATTCTAAGATTAATTTGTAGTCTATCTCATTGTCTATTTTTATCTGAGAAATGAATGTCTCCATGGTTTCATCTTGTTTCCGTCTATTTGGTTAACAGGGCCCCATTGGAAATAAGCAAACCAGCTTAATGGGCTATCCTTGTAACCATAGATCACTCTTAAACAAGACCATGCATTATATTGAAATTTTATTATTATTTTTTTCTCTTTTAAAATCTAGGTTAAACTATTAAGTTTTTATATATCATGTCTATCAGTAACTTTAAACAATATCCTGTGCTAATTATCATTCTGACTTGTTCAGTGTAGCAATACCACGTGACTATGACGTCATTTTCGGCATCATTTCCAAGACAGCCTTAATTTTTTTTATTTCTGTACCAATTTCTTTGGGATATGCACCAGTCTACGGGGAAAAATATAAGCTTTCCACAGAATATTGGATATTTGTCAGTTTATAAGCCGTTTTATCAAACACTTTGCATAACCTTGGAAGTTGCTTGTATTAGAGCGGGCTTCAGTTGCAAGCTATTTCGTTTTCTGTACGCCATGATTAATAGGTCAGGTTTACATCAACCGGGGGTCCAGACAGCAAAATCCTACCTTTAAATGTTTATATGTTTATTATTTATGGCGTAAATCTTGCCTTTTTCTTCAATTGTCAATTCTGGCACCAGTTCCAAGTCGAAAAAAAGGACTACAGTTTAAAGCAGATTTTAGAATCCGTTGCAAATGCAATACAACATGCCTACCGTTCTCTTTCTGTAATTATGTTAACCATTTAAAACATTTTATTTACTACAGTAGAATCCCTGCTAAAGACCACCTCGGAATTAAGACCACCCCGCTTTTAAGACCAGTTTTTAAAAGAACGGAATTTTCTGTTCTTTATGTCAATGATTACATGATCCAGAATTAAGACCACCTCACTTATCCACTTTTAAGACCACCAGATTCAGTCCAAATTCATTATTTTGTTCTTTATTTGACCTCACTATTGAGACCACAGATATTAAAATCAACACCTTCCTAGATCTTAAATGTGTTGTTATGTTAATATTACTATCTGCTTCATTGCTCTTAGGCATGACACTTGATTACACAAGGTGTCAAAAACTGTTATTTATGGGATATTTCATGAAAAAGGTGAGGAAATTAATTTCAGAGTGGTTTAATGTTGCTTTATAAAATGCACATTTATTTTGTGAAGAAAAAATGTCTTACATGATATGTGAATTATGTATATCATACATAATTAATATTGAAATCAGAGCAAAGAAAATTTGATATTAAAAAATTTCTTCAGAAATATGTTTTCTTCCCATCATATGTAACATTATAACATACTTTCATATTGTATTTGCAGGTTAAGATACTTATTGTTTGTTCATACAAAATGACTAAAATAGGCCCTGGTCATAACGTGTGTAAGCAATGATAACAATATCCACAATTAAGACCACCCCACAATTAAGACCACTTAGGCCCAGTCCCGATGGTGGTCTTAATTGAGGGTTTTTACTGTATACGATTTACATAAACACAAATGAATATTTAAAAGATTTTACTCGCTGCGCTATAAGTGATTTTAAAAGTCGTACAATTGTTGTCTGTATTTGTAAAGTAATTGATTTGCTCTTTAATCATTGTTTTTTCACGGTAATGATTATGAAAAATCTATTAGTGCAATGAAGCAATACTAAACGTGGAATATTCAAAATAGAGAGAAAACAGGAACCCTAAATATCGCCCAAAACGGCAAAATTGAAAATGGTGCAGGCTCGGTTTGACTTAGCTAGCCTGTCAAATTCAGGATCACTTCCATTTGTATGCTGAGAAAAGGGTTACGCCTCAACGGGGCAATTTTAAAGTGCCTAATCCCTGGGGAGTGGCCCTACAAAGTAGGCTTCGGGTCGACGAGGATGATGTGCTAGGGTGCGGGAGCCCCTAGCACGGTTAGACGGCTTTCAAGAACGGCAGGCGTTTTGCTGGCACAAACAGCCCTTTTCAGGGCTACCTTTTCATTTTGTCACAAGTTACTGTACATTTAGGTTCTCATTGACCGCCGTACAGTGACCTACTTTTGGCTCAAAATTAATATCTTTGGCTAATAGTCCGTGGAAATTGCATGGAGGTAAATTATCACCACTTTGTGCTTCAAAATTAACTCTTTAAGGACATGACTGGTGAAATGTCCGGGGTCCGTACTCGACAGCGAAAGCTGCATTTTGTGCCTAAAATGGCGGATGTACGCTCATTAAGCATTAAATACATACATATTTTATCAGAGGATAGTAGTGATATGTTACTGTTCTTGCTCCATTTGAACTTTCGCTCAAAATATGAAAGCAAAGATCAACAAGGAAGGGTGGCATTCAATGAACGCATCCCATAAACATAACTCCTCAACATAGGACCATCAGCAAGGACCCAGCAGAAAATCAAATAAAAACAGGAGACAGCACAAGGGCAAAACACTGATAGGGCTTTAAGTCATACATGTAGAATTAACTTCATTAGAGGTAGCCGCGTACTTTTGTTTCGCATTTTCTGATTGGGTGCATTCTTGTAAAGGGAATGTACTTTAAAGGAATGGACTAATCATTTACACAAATGTATCACGCTTAAATGAAATTTTCGCACACTTGTATCAGATAGCGTCTGATGTAAACAATTTTGATAACATATCTCACTTATTATCATTACTTCGTCTAATGATTAACACATCAAATATTTTGAATCCATTTGTGCTGTTTAACACCCCTTCTTTCTTTGAACTTTTCATGTAACATTTGATTTTGGTATATAAAAAATCAAAACTTTAAAATGTTTAATCTGAGGTTGGTTTTTAAACGCTTCATAGTAAATATGTGATCATACATAAACAAGGGAATAATAATTACAGATAAACATTAGTATGTATATTTCATTATCACGTTTCGATGTTAACATTATGTTTATTCGTAATACTTGACCGCTACTTAAAATTTGTACTTCTATACATATATGAACACTTTTTAATTCACCTTTATCAAATTAATATTAAAATGTTTCTAATGCATGTATATATAGCGTCGGATCGTATTCATATAAATTATTTATAAAGATTTTGGCAGGTTATATATGGACCTATATAAACGGTTGTTTTAATATGTATAGCAAATAACTGTTTATATTCAGCAATATGATATGTTAAGATTCTTTTATAGCGAATTTATAATGCTGCAAACTTTCTTTATTGCAGAAAAAAATTAAAAATTATTCATAAATCGACTGAAGCCGTGTATATATATTATATAAACGTAACGATTATCCAATGAAAAACGACGTTACAAACGTATATAGTACGTATTATAATTAACTCATAAGTCCTATTCTTGCTCGCCAATTTAAGAAGTACACTATAGCGTATCGTCATAAATGTGAAATAAGCATTTATCACTGGACATGTGAACATTATATCTAAAAAAATATCTAAACTGTCTTTTTTCTATCAGTGCATCTCAAAAAAATATTTGTTTCATTGGAATAAAACATCACACCATTACAGAATGTGATAGCAAGCTGTGGAATGTTTGTTTTCTTCTTCAATGTGCCAAGATGTCCTTACTTCTTGTAACCTACTTAACATTAATCATTGTCATCACCTATAAGATTGTTTTGGTGGTGTATAACTATATAGAAACCATTCGTGTAGCAAGAAAAGTCCCTGGCTTTGAAGATACTCGTTTCATACAAGGCGATTTATGGGTAAGTAGGAGGCAATACAACTCAAATAAATAATCAATATACATGTACTAGTACTTACCATTGACACGAATGTTTTTTTCTCTGCCAAGAAAAGATTAGTAAATAGTAGTAATAATAAGGTAGACAAATCACAAAGTAATTTTATACTGAAATGTAATAAAAAATCTTGTTACTAAATATAAAGATATGTCATATGGTCTTTTATGTCCATATTTTTGCACAACTGAATGCAAATAAATCTTATCAAATGTTATCTCTTTGTATTATCTCTTAGAAAGATTCTTCAAGACTTTGAATACGTATGCTTGCAATAAATTCATTGTATGTTTCAGATGGATTCATATGACGATTATTTAAAGAAATCACTAGACTTTGTCCAAACGACCGGGGTCAAGATGCATAAAATATGGGTGTATTTCTTTTACCCCGTCTATTGCCTAAGCCACCCAGATACTGCGAAGGTGATATTGAAATCGTCCTTACCGAAGGATCTTTCTATAGGAAGCAATTATCATATACTAAAAACATGGACGGGTAAAACATGAGATTATAGTCTTCATTTTTACACCCCTTTCTTTTGTTTCTGCTACTGCACAGTATTCTACATTCATAAATGTATTTTAGAATTTTCTTAACATGCATTACTCTATAGATATAATTGATTCATGTCAGGGACAGTACAAGAAACTATACGTTAAGGGCATAGAGATGGATTTATGGGGGATCTTTATCTGACATACGCCATAATATCAGTTATCAGTGATTTTGTTTTGAATATTTAAATATTTATTTACTTTGATGTATAAAAAGGGCTGCACTAACTCAATCAAACTGATTCTTCTATTTTCATGAAATTTTGTTTTGATTAATGCTTCAGAGGGAACACCTTTCTTTCAGACCCTCATTAGTATGAATTATAAAGTATCAATTAAAGAAATGAAACTACTTTTCTATGGGTACATCTAATATATATAATTACCTTGCAAAGTATCTCAGAAAGTACACTTCAACTATTTAATTAAAACTATATAGAAATTTATTATCTCAGGTAATGGCATACTAACGAACGCAGGCGGAAGTGTTTGGAAACGTCACAGGCGACTTCTATCATTGGCCTACCATTTTGACATTCTACACAATTATGTCATAAAATTTAACACTGTCGCCGAGGAACTGCTGGTATATATCTTTATAACTTAAAAGGTGATCTGTTTTACTCAACGAAAAGAGCAAATGTTCGCTTTTTTCATCCAAAATATATTGCAAAATTGTTTTATATGTATATTTAAGACTTCAACACGATTTCGTCAAGATTTGATTTATTTATTTTTTTGTTTTTGTTTTGTCATAATTCTTTACATCGGATTTACCATCGGATTTGTAATCCATGTGTCGTAGGTTCTATCCTCGGGTAAGTCGAATTTTCTGTCTCAGACATTGAGTTTCATGTCGTTTGTCTCTCACTGTAGTAGTGAGTTACTTGCAGAGAAATTGGTAATTACTAGTTAGTTATACCGAAGTCATTAAGGTGGGCTAACGCCTAGATATGAGGAAAACATGCGTTTAAATCGGGACAAGAAACAAATATACAAACAAACAAACAATAAACAAACACACAAAGGAAAAAAGACAATAGAATTCAAAGTCTTTTTCCAAATGTTTATTTACATTATACATGTTTTGATTTGCTTATTTCCATCATTACCTTATAAAACCTTATAAAATTGAAATGTTTACAATAATGTTCAATACTGTTCAGATACGATTATCCCAGTGTCGAGATACAAGTATAGAAATATGTCAGCCTGTATACATGGCAACAGTAGATGCTTCGTTACAGTGTGCTTTCTCATACCATGGGGGTATTCAGAACTCAGGGTAAAGCCATTCCCCATTTTTGTGCTTTTTAAACGTTCTTTTTATTTCCTTGCCATACTATTCTAAATATTTTTTTAATCGGAATTGATTATTTAGTGTTTATGCAATTGGTATGTAATGGGATACAATTACTAACGTTATAAAAATAAAATTTTAGGGTTATTTTCATTTAGACTTGACCATCCTTATGTTGCGGCTATTCATGAATTGACCAACTACTGCTTCCAAAGAATGAGGTGAAAACACGTTTTCGTTGTTTGTTCATTTATAATATTTATAACATACATGTAGAGAGTACTGAAACACTAAAATACTATTCATCGAATCAATTGTTTCTTCTCGTTCGTTGACATTTTTTCCTATCTCAACAGATGTATTATACATTATTTTGAAAATCTAAAATAAAGTAAGCTTTTCAACGAACTTTAAATAAATAATTTTTTTAAACGACCCAATCATAGTCTCAACGATTCATATAGCCTTTTCTTATGACGATCAATCAACATACTAATTTAAAACAATTACATAATTATGTATATTGTTTTTCAGCAACCCTTTGTTATATCCAGATTTTATATTCGAAAGAACAAGAATGGGCAAACGATTTCATTTATTGTGTAAATACATACATCGTTTCGTAGATGGCATTATTAAAGCACGTGGACATACCGCAGTAAGTTAAAAGATTAATATTACATTTAATTTGTTTTGTATGAAATTTAACTTGAATTAACCATCTGCTCATAGTATTTGTGTATTGAAAAAGTGATATTTTTACCCTTTCTCATATAAAGAAGCAATAACTGTTGCTGCTGTTTTGGCGCCTATTCTATTAACATAAGAAAAACCAAGTTATAAATGAACGTCAGCGTCTAGTTACAGGAACCAGACTTCTTGGATATTCTAATGACGACACAGGATGAAAATGGTGTCGGACTTAACGATACAGAAATACGAGATGAGGTCAAAACATTTTTGTTCGCAGGTAAAGTGCTCTCCTTTGTAATGGCCGAACTTTGCAATAACTTATCTTTCATGATCTATATAAATCAGCGGATTACATGGTGCGTTTGATGTGTATACTTTACTTACATTATATCCATGTATAAATACCTGGTCATGTGTTGCTATTGTATTTAATTAGATGTATTATGACTAAGAAATAAATGAGCAATGTATTAATATGTTGCATACATTTCTGTTTGCTAATAATTTTATAATGTTCAATGAAAAACAGAAAATCATTTTTTACATTTGTTTTTTTAAATAACCATTGTGAAATATTTGTCAAGTACATATTCGAGTACTAGCCGAAATGCTTTCTGTTTGTTTAATATCTACACCATGCAATGAATACAAAAAATGTGTGTATATTTGGATAGGTCACAACACAGTAAGTTCTGCGATAAGCTGGTCCATATACTTACTAGGAAAATATCCAGAAATACAAGAAAACATTTACGAAGAGGTTATAGGAATCGTCGGAACAGCAAACGTAAAATGGTATGTTTTAGTTTTTATAAAGGGTAAAAAGAAGTTACTTCCTTTTGTGCAAGACGTCCTCACTAACAGCTAGAATCTAAAACACGTGTTGTCACGTTTAAGGTTTAACGACCACCAACACATTTGCGGATGTTAAAATTTATAAAATTTCATCATTTTCATGTTTAATGACGAATACTGCTTAAACCGATGCTAGGGGGCATAGAAGTTAACTTGTACTTAAAATCGTCCACTAATATAATCAATTGAACCGTATCTGCAACATTTTCAATTTTGCAGTTATGAGCGTTCCTTATGTATTCTGTATGTTTTGCTATCTAAAGTCTGAATTTTTAATAATATGAAACATTTTAGGGATCATTTGAGCAAGATGACATGTTTAAACTGTTTTATCAAAGAGGTATTACGTATGTATAGCATAGTACCGGTTATTCGCCGAACTCTAGAAACTGAAGTTACTATAGAAAATGTCACATTGCCGTCCGGTGCTACGGTAGAAATCAACATACATACAATAAACCATAACAGCGTGTTATGGCCTGATCACCAGGTGAAGAAATATCATTTTATTAATTTTGACCTTATTATCTTGTAGAAAATGACATTTTCAATTCCGACAATTTTGTCACTATCATCAATCCTTTCATCAAATTAATTACCAGATTTGCTAATCATACTATCGGACTACTGCAAAATTATACTTCTTTATTGACGCTATTAATCAACATAACACCATGATCCAAACACATTTCCTCTTCAATTCATGGCAATATGTATAAACATATTAGTCAATATTTAAAAAAGTTTGTATATTAATGTCATATATATTTTAACAAATAAAATATAAATTGACTCATGTTATTATTTTATCTTACATCACAGGATTTTCGACCTGAAAGATTTTTAGACGCAACATTAGAGAAAGATCCTTTTAGTTTCATTCCATTTTCAGCAGGATCGAGGTATGAAGCTTAAGAACGTCTTGAAAGTCTTTATTATATTGCACTTTTACCAGTAGTTGCAAACTCAATGGCATAGCATATCAAAAGTCTTTTCATAATATCCAGCGATTTCTTTGTATATTTTATATATCGCATATCCCATCAGGAAACATTTGTTATTTAATATTTCAGGAATTGTATTGGAAAGAATTTTGCTCTGAACGAACTTAAAGTCATCCTGTCGCGAATCGTGCAAACGTACGTATTTTTTTAGATTAAAATGTTTGATAATTTTTTAGCATTTTTGTTCACAAAATAAAGTTGATTTATAAAATTACATTATTTTTTACATTCGACTTAAATTCGTCATATTTGATGTGAAACAACGACTATGTTAATTAATAATTTATTTCATATTTTACGACATCAAATGCATTTTTGAACAATCACTTCCTTCTATAAGCTTTTTATTGCGACGGACGCGCCCTCAGGCGCGTTCAGAGCTAAGTCATCTACACATGGGATTTCGTTGGCTACAATCGCGCAATGTGTCCTAAACCAATTAACAGCCCAAGAAATAGTACATGAATTTGATCCTTCAAAACTCCCATACTTTGTCTGGATATCTTAATGTCTTCCATATTTAGCCTTTTCAATTTCAAATTAAGTTATCCAAGTTGAAATATGAACGTATATTATTGATAAAAGCGTTGTAGTCCCGTAGTATTATTGCGCAATATGCAAATTACTGCTGAAACGATTTACCGCTGTCGAAAAAGTAGGACAGCAAATTATACTACAATAAAGGTGTAACCTCTGAGTTCCAAGCCATTATTAGTAGGAAATAAATATTTCTACATTATACAAAACATTATTATTAACAAATCAAAAGTTTTTCGTGACTCTAGGATAACTCGCGCATTAATAAAAGAAGAACTATTTTCGTGACTCATACCGCGGGTTTAGCTGAATATTCAGCAGTTATTAATATATTAGATACAGTAAAATGGTTAGTATAAATATCTATTTTTGAAAATGCATGTAAGAAGAGAGTTTTACAACACTTTACCGCCATGTAGTCTTTCATGGTAAGGAAGTTATAATATCAGTTCTACTTCCGATTCTTGTGGTTTGTTTACATATTTTACTAGGTCATGATATGAGTTAACCTTCGCTATTCTAAAAATAGATTCTGCTTCACCTGTTCTGATTTTTGGACAGGCGATTAGGAAGTACACATTAAACATGTAATTAATAAACCAGCGGATTACATGCAATACTTTTAGAAATTCTATACAATTGTAAGAAGCAAACAAGTTGAAAATGGAATTTAGTGTGAAGTTGAAAAGGACAACTAAACACTGTAGTGCTTAAGTGACATTTAAATTAAAATAAAAACGATGTGCTCTGGCCTCTACATCTTTACCTTGTAAATAAAAAAAATCTAAGAAATACACTATCAATTGCGGATGATTTTAACCAATTTTTCTGTACGAAATCTGCTGTGGTCATAGTATTATTTTTACAATAGGTTTACCTCTTACATTTGGTTTGCTATTTCTAATCATGGTCATGCAACTACATAGTTAGGTTAAGAAGCAGACGCTTGTTTTGGTTGAGTCTATTATGTTTTTTTAGGGGGTGAGTTGTCATACACAAATTTACAATTTGTATGCATTTATTTTTTTCCAATGATTGTTATTATCTTAAATGCTTCTGGGATTGTTGTTTTATCAATTCATTTGTAAATAAGATTGTTATATGTCTATAAACGGAATAATTTTAATGAACACGAAATTAGTTCACACCTTTATGTGTATTGATAACGTGATGGTTTAAGCCAATGAAAACACATCAATATTATTACAATCAGGCAGAGAAAAAGTTTGCAAGAGTAAATCGATAATCTTTATGTAGCAAACAAACTTTAAATTGCAAGTATTTTTTCATATCTTTTCGGCAGGATAAACTGTCCGAGGAGGGCTAGGCATTTTCGTATCGTAAAATGGCTGCCATTTACAGTATCAAGTGATTATCCCAAGCACCACCGCGACTTAGCGCGGGAATCATAAATATAGCTAACCTCGGCTGGAAAATACCTTTTTTCTTATTTTATTGTAATAAATATTTACAAACTGTGTCTTTCGGGATTTTTTTTATCAATATATAACCAATAATGATGTTTATATGAATAAATAATCATATCTCAAAGCTGCGACTGTGACTTACAATGAAATTCTACCTTACCAATTCTACCAAAAAGTCTTCACAAAAAGTAGAATCTAGTATGCAATCGTACCTATATTACATACGAATGTATGTAATATTTTTATTGTTTTTTAATGAGACATAAGAGAAATAAAAATACAAATGACTTATATTTTATTGTCTGTATGCCCACTATGATATAACACGAAGCAATTCTAAATAGCATTCTCAAATGTATAATGTATTATGTTTGAAGTTTATTTGCCTGGATTTATTCTAGAAATATTTCGTGGATAGTTTTTCTATTTACATATCATTTCTTAGAATAAATCGATAAGGACACTGATTTACAAGTTTGACCAGAGTTTTTAGGCATAAATTTCATTCTGTATTTAAGTGCTTGAAAGTAGAAAATCTGAATAATATCAATTTGGGACACAAAACATATTGCTCTACAAATTTCGAACTTGTATGGAACAAATTTTCTCTGTTATATATTTTGTGTTTTGTTGTTTTTTTTTTGTTTTTTTTTGTTTTTTTTTCTAAAAGAAGCCTTAATGTCTCTCCGGTTGCATGTCCGTCGCATTCAGTGCTGCAGCACTTTGATTTGTACATGTGCTTACAATAGAACTGAATATAGTACATTCATTCTATTGAACATTGCTTTTTGAACATGGCTTTTGCACACATAATCCAGTTAGTCCAGTTATAAGACATTTTTATTATATTTGAAATGTAGTTCCATATATGACAGAAAAAAATTCAATTGTCGTTTTAGATTTCGTATAGAGTTGGATCGCAGTCATAAAGTTATTCAAGAAACAAAGTTGGTAAGGACACCAAAAACTGGAATCAAAGTTTATCTCCATTCTCGTTAAACTGACCGACTCATTTCGTTGAATCAACAAGAAATTGGAGAAATGAAATAATTTTCCTTATAAACATTGAGAAAGAAATAAGTGAAAAGACAAAACCAGTTTAAATTTATATTTTCTGGTATATAGATTAAAGATTTTATTTCCAAAACACCAGAAGGTCACTTACCCATGTGGCCGACATTTACATACTAAATATGGCTACAACAATTTAACATGTTATACTATTAATTAGTGCAGAGTTATAATACACAATGCTAATGAGTATCGTTTTATATATAGGGACAGACAAACATGTGTACAGTACAGTTATTGATAATCTCAGTAACATTGGTCTACCCACACCCTTTTGGATTATCGTTTGTCTTTGAAATCTGCAAATCCATTGTAAAATCCTTACCTAGCAGTGACAATCAGCAGGCGGTAATATCGCCGAAAAATGACTGATCTATTGCCATATAGCTACATCTTATGCTTGTTATTGTTTTGCTTGTTTTTTGTTGTTGTTGATTTTTGGTGGGTTTATTTATTGTTTTGCTGAGTGACTTCCACTAAAAAGTACACATGGTTACATATTCAAAAAGAGCAAATGGTTACATTTTTAAAAAAAGATCAACAAGGAAGGGCGACACTCAAATGAACGTATCCCTCAACAAAACCCCGCAACACATGACCAACAGCAATGACACCAACAGGACACTAAACAAAAACAGGAAACGAGATTTATGCTAGATATTGGTATCAAAAGGTCCTTACTTGAAAGTAAATATAGAATAGCGTTAAAAGATGAGGATACGCTGCGCATACGCACAATACAGACAATAAAACAATTGCAGCATCATAAGGTTCTCTTAAAACCAAAGAAGGAAATCCGTGTTATCCTTTCTCAAACTCCTCACAGTGATTACCCCCCTTGGCAGAATACGCCGAAGAATTAAGGGGAGATCACTGCGTGGAGATTGATACTTTCTGACTGGATTTTTTTAGAAATGTTCGTTAAAATTATTTACGTTAAAATATCCGTTAGTTATGGCGATAGAGAGTTTAAGCTTAGTATTATAGTGACTTCATAATATTGAATTCTGTTAAAGCCGGTGCTCGGGGGCATGGCCGGTAGCTTGCAGTTATCACTACTTCACAATATAGGCTCAATTAAACCGAGCCTGCAACAATTATAATTTTGTCGTTTTGGGCGTTCTTTTGGGATTCTGTTTTTCTCATTTTATGCCAAGATTATAAAATGACAGGTTCAAGCCACAGGCAATAAAAGTTGCTGCTCTAAATTATTCATATGCTGAACGACAAGCAGTAAGCACTTCGCATTTGACAATATTTCATTAGCGTTACTTAACTTACCTGAAATTATGTATTTAGTTCATTTATATCATTATTTAGATTTTGCATTTCGACACCCATAATTAATTAATGATGATAATGTATATATGCCCCAAAGAAATAAATCAAAAAAGGGAAAGGATTTGAATGTTTGCGGGGTAAATGCTTACCTATAAAAAAAGAAAAGAAAAGAAAAAAACGAACAACAAACATATAAGCATCTCAATTTATTGCACCTTTTATTAAATGTAACATATCTAGTAAATCATTTACTCATTATTATGTTGGAGGGTTTGTAATGTACTTTAAGTATATTTAATCAAAATAAATATAGTAATAAAGTCAAATGTCTTACTTAGTTTATTCATTTTCATTGTATTAAGAAAAGTTGTAAACGTAGTTTAAAGGCCATTAAGCTTCAACACTTCTATAAATTTTAGTTTTAACAGCTTTTTATTTTCATTGTCCAGTTACAGTTTCAATACAGTTATTCACTGGCCCCTTACAGCTTAGCCATCTCTTGCTTTTTATGTTTGACAATTAGTACAGTTATAGCGAATTAGTGTTGTTTATAAAAGTCTAAATTCCACATTGTATTTTAATACTTCTATCACAAATTATTTAAAATTTAGCGTAATTGCGTCAGGTGATAATCATTGCAACATTACCAAATATAAAAATCAGCAGCATCATTTTCTCTCATCAACAATTTCTTGGAATTGTTCTAAACTGTAATCTTCAATATCGAAATTTACGTCTTTCCACTTTTTAAATGTTCTACCTTTATTGTTTTCATCAACGACAAGAAAATAAGTTATTGCAATCAAAGGGAACTCAATGCCCATATATTCGCACACCCCTCCTAGCTTTTGTTTACAGGTGCTGTTTCCACATAAGGTAGTGCCATCAAATTTAAGGTCGTCATTCTTAAATTTAGGAATTGGCTTTCTTGTCCAGGTGATACGTTTTTGCACATCTTGATCGATGACAACATGCTGAGTGCCTTTGATTCTACGGATGTCAGAAGATAAACAAATAAACTTGCTGCATTTAAAGCAGTGCAATTCTTTAACACCTTGCTCCATTTTTGCTTTGCGATCTCTCTCATTTCTTTCCTCTTCAAGTTGTTTCATGTATTTTTGTCTTTCAGTTAGACGTTGTTGCCAAGCGAGTGGATCCTTTTCAATTTTAGCCTGTAACAGTGGCACAATTTGATTCATCAGACCTTCAAGCATTTTGTTCTTTTCCTCTTTTCCTACGATCCAAGATCCAGCTTCGGTTAATACATAATACTTGCTATTTGCAGCTCTGGCTCGTCCTGAAATACATTAAAATGGCGATAAATTAATTGCTTTATTCCTAGGATTAGTAAAATACACATAACACATTTCTTCGCCTTTGGCATGCTACGGTAGATGTTTCTACTTTCTAACCCAGCTGATGTTGTTTTTAGTTATTATAATGCTTAGACACTTCATTTTGGTAAAAGTATCAATGTACATGCATCATGTTTGAGTGCTATCGGGAAATGTCTGTATGCCAATCTTGTCAACGTTTGAAACTAAATGAAACTAAAATAATTTTTCACAGTTAACTATAAACATCCTGATAATAGAGGTGAATCGATGTTTCGGACCTTATTATGGCGGTTTCATTAAACTGAGTTTACGCTATAAGCGAGTATGCTATAAACGAATTTTTAACACAAGGGATTCAAACCGAATAAAGACATTCATTATTTGTTCTTTTATACCATTAAAAAGTTGAAATAACATTTCATACCTCGGGACTGTAATCGAACGATCTCATTTGTCACATGCTCATACCGGATGACCAGGTTACACATTGTGATGTCAATGCCCTCTTCTACTATAGATGTAGCAATAATCAGTTTATGATGTCCACCTCTAAAGTACTCCAACACATTCTTCTGCTTTGCTCGTGTCATACCTCGAAATACAGATAACATTTCGAATTAAATTCCTTAAAAAAAATATTACTATTTCAACTATCTATACGAAAACATGTTAATAAGATTGGCAAAAGTTCAATGATATCTATTTATTTAAAGTTGTTTTGTTCAATACATACGAAATGTTGTTTAGTTGTGGGTTTGAGACGACACTGAAAACGAAGAAAAACAAATAAAAAAGGAAACTATGTGGTACAATATGAAAAATAAAACTGCCAATATAATCTAGTATAAAGTATAACATCCTATATTAAGACAATTCCTCTCAATCAAATATTTCATCTTTGACATTAACTTTCACGAAATTATTATCATACTACAAACAAGGATATGAGAAAGAATCAGAAAGCAACAAGTTTATGTAAAACGGAAAAAAAAAAACCCGGGAGGGTTAAGCAAAACCAGAATACCCTTTTATCAACGACGCGGCCTGTCCAACACATTCCTTAGCATTAAATTGCTTCAGATTGTCGGTCTCATTCATCCAGTTGCTTATAGCTTTTGCAAGATCCCTTGTTTTCACGAATACTATTCCTTTTGCATGTTTGTCGTTGCCAAGAATATTGATGATAAGTTCCCCCAGCTTCAAGAGTTTAGGATTTTCTGGTTCATTGTCGAATGATTTGGCTTTCAAATCTGTTAGATAAAAATATTTTAATTTTAAACGAAGTGTCTACAACACGATGTCAAAACTATACTGAAATCCGCCAAAAATGCTCTATATCATGAAAAGAGCATGAATACAAAAAGCGACACCTAATAGTAAGAAGTAACAGTAAAGAAAAAAATATATGTTCTACATAAAAGAGAAAGGAAATGAAAAAATATGAACATAAACATTAATGAATATACAAATCCAAAATACTAGTAACCTAAAATTTGACTAAATTGACCAAATAAAATATCTGCCAAAATAACCGATAGTTTAGAATTTCAGTAAACGAAAAATACTTCACATTATATTAATTTTATACACGATTTTGTCACTTTAAAGCAGTATGATGCATTTCTTACTTTCGTATAGTTCAAGAAGCATTTTATCAGTTTCATTTTTGCCCGTTTTGTCTGTCTTATACTGATGCTCTTCCATAAATTCCACAAGAACTGCTCGCGCATCTTTTATTCTAGCATCAGCATGAACCATCAAGGATTTATTGTATATCTAAATCAATTAAGTGAAATAACAAAGACATAACATACAGGCATATACAGGAATCAGATACAGTAAAGAAAATATTAAATATTTTTATTGCATCTACAGTAGATAATGGACAAAGCAGTATTTATATTAATAATTCACAAGCTTATATTGTGTCCGAATACGGTTTCACCAGGCATATTCAATAAACATTTATTCAATTTCACACTTTAAACATACACAATCAAAAAGTTAATGACATTCTTTTTATCAGTGAATTACAAAGAAATTAATTTAAAAAATAATCCATTAAATCAATCATGCATAATCCGCACGGACAACAGAAAATTGCAATAATTCTCTTATATTTCAGTTATGTAAGTACCCGATAAGGTTTCGTCATGAAGGGCTATGTACAACTTGTTTGAATGTATACCTCTAAATGCTCCAAGCATGGAAACATCATTCTTCGAACACGTTGTGAATGAACATCACCGAGCGCCTTTTTGAAATCACTGAGCCAATTTTGGAAAGGCGTATCGCCCGCCGACGAAGGGACTCGACATTTATTCTTTAGTTCTGACGCTTGAGGAACCTCCGATAAACCTTATGAATGTAAACTTAATATGGAAATTGGCATTCCAAGTAAAATCACATACTAACTTTAACTAAATGGGTTTACTTTATCTTGCCGAACGCCTAAGATCATTCTGGATTTATTTTAGTCTAGTATGTGAAAAATATATTGAAACATTCCATTCTTGGATAGTCTTAGATGAGTCTTAGATAAAAGAAGTAAAACAAATCAAACAATAGATCTATGATAAGATCTTGTACTAAACACTCTTTTTACATGTTTATGTAGTATAATTGCGGGTTGACACTTACTTGGGTGATTTATCATGTAACCATCAATAGCATGCATGTTTTCAAGAATCGCTTTCTTGTATAAATCATCGACTCTTGCTTCAGCAACCACAATATCTAAATTAGATTAGAAATAATGTTGGATTATTCTATATACCAGTAGTTCATTATTTTATGTTTCAATTAGTAAATTTACACTTGTTAATTGTTGATAAATAACAAAAACTGGCATTGCTATCATCTTTACAAAGCAAAGTGTCAAATAAATAGTACTAGTATTTTAAACGATTTTCTGTCATGAATAGAACAATTTATTCTTTTACGCTCTTTTGCTCTGTTTTCTATTTTTTGGAGTCCTTCTTTGTTTCGTTTAACTGTACATAGAAATGCAGCGTCCAAATTTGTAAGAAGTTTTTCCATGTGATCCATGGCAGCTTTAGGATCCGAATTTCCGCCTACGCCTAGCGATGCAGTTAGACCAACAACCTGAAAATTTAATATTTATAAATGATATACATGTACATGTATCAAATTGTTTTTGAGAAAAAGGTCAATGTAATTTGTCTTCTCCTTCTGAGTAAGATGGTAATCAAAATGAGGAAATGCTGTAATCGTTAATACTTTAGAACGTACAAACATGTTTGTTTTATTTTGTTTCATATCATCTTCACAATTATATACCTATTTCATTTTCCGTCTTCATTATAATAAATGATCAATTTTGCTTCGACAGCTAAGTACGTTGTTGAAAAATTAAAGAGTGAAAGTGGTGCTCACAGAAAGCTGCTCCGATAGCATTCAACTACACAGTAGCACTTGAAAGCCACAAAGTGAGATAAAAAACGGAGACTGGGTATAATACGGGTGAGGAGGGAGCAGTGATACAGTACCAATTGAAATGCACCAATAGAGGCACCAAACGGAAAATGATATAAGATGGTATGAAGTGAATATAAGCCTTCAGCCAACGGAAAGGCAGTCAAATGGAGACTGGGTAAAATACGGGGAGAGGGATTTACCTAGAGAAAAGACACCAAATGTGGAACTAAACGGAACCTGGGTAAATGAGGGAGAGGACGGGGCAGGGGTACAGTATCAATGGAAAGACACCTAGTGTAACCCTAGATTGGGAAAATGGGTAAAATACAGAGGATTAACGGAGTAGGGAGGGATATATTACCAAGGGAAAAGACACACAGTAAGGGCCTAAACTGAAACTGGATAAAACAGTATACCAATGGAAAGACATCCAGTGAGGCAGCAAACAGAAACTTGGTAAACACTGGGGATGACGCTAATTTAGAGATGATTGAAATTCACAATGTAATAAGAAAACCCACCTGTGGAAGTGGTGAAACATTTTGCAATTTCAGATCAATATAATGGCCCATTATTTCATTATATCGATGCAAATCATGGGCATGGTGACATTCGTCAAACACAATGAGAGAAAATTGTACTAGGCTGTCAATTTCTTTGGTCTTTAATGAATTTAACAAGATCTGTGCTGTTACAACGAGTATGTCCCTCCTGAAAATAGATAAGATATTTAGTTACTGATACGTTCAAATTAAATTTCTACTATATAAACATAATGGGGATTTTACAAGTACTATATAAACATAATGAATTGGCATTGGAAATTATCAGTCTGGACAAGGTAATGAACATGATGTTTTAGATCCAAATATAACATGTTTATGTGTTTTATATCAGACGGACTTTACGAAATGAAAGCTGGTGCAGTTATTATTAAATATCAGGATTATAAAATACATGAAAATAAGTTGTGAATAAAAGTGTAACAAAGTTTAAATAATCGTACATGTGTATGAAGTCTTTAAGAAACATCTTTTTATCTCTTTGAACGGTTCCACTGATCACCTTTGTTCTATAAGCAGGAAGGAGTTTACTGAACACCTTTCCTTGCTGATAGGCTAGAGCTTCGTTCTCTACTAAAAATATAACTTTTCCGTCCCTCTTTTTCCGTAAATGTTCCTGGAACAATAAGGAACTAATCATTACCGTCATGCGTCATTTGCTTGTCATTAATGATATGATCTATATGTAATACATAACGAAGCACAGAAAATTAGAAAAATTAAAGACAAGTCGTCGGGTATATGTTCTTAACTTTTTATAAATATCAAGTTCTTTTTTCTTTTTATCAATGTCATCTAGTTTAAACAAAAATCGAATTACAGAAAGTTTATCAACATCCTATTTTCAATGAGTATTTGAACACTAAAGCTCTGTCATACCTGCGTTATTTTACACGCCACTCGTGTCTTTCCGGAGTTTGTAGGCGCCATTATTACCACATTTGTTCCCTTCACCCCTTCTTCAGCAAGTTCTTTCTGATAATCTCTCAATGAAACATCAGCATCCTCTACATTTACAATTGTATCTTCATCTACAATAGAATGATACACGTGGTACTACAGAACTGATTGGAAACATTCATGAATAATCCGCATCCCGAGGCCAAAATTATTGAATCTTTGTCAAAAGTTTATAAAGAATTTTACCTTTAGATTTTTACTAATATTTCTTGTATTGGTCAAAACGTTCTAAATGAGTTCATATGATGTATTTTACAAAATATCAGGTCTTTTTTACAAATAAATCGATTGCATCAGGAATTGAGTGAAAGGGAGTGACCTCTTTGTATTTGTTTAACAACTCCATATTTGTGTTTAATAACCTTATTTATCATTGATAAAAATTAAGGTGTTTGTTTATAAATCCAGGGACTGCAGGTTCGATTCTTCGAATGTAACGAGTATAACACCAGTACTGGTTACTTATGGAGCGGAGGTCAAATAAATAATTTAAACTTGTATTCAAAACAACGCTAAAATAAATTATACCTAAACTTAAATCAACATTTCCATATTAGCTTATCGTCACATTTGAAGTCCTTCAAAATTTAAGTTTATCAGTTATTGTACTAAGGTGACATTATGCATGAAAATGTATATACCTGTCTTTATTTCAGTATTTCCATAATAATGGTCACATGCTGCTCCTGTTTGACAACAAAACAAATGTGTATATACACGGAGCAAAAACAAAACTTATACATCCAACTCATTATTGATATAAAATGATAATTAAGAAAACTTTTAATTTCACTTTTTTCGTTGCATTCGCAAGTTAAATCATCAACATCTTCAAATGACAATTAAACATTTTTAATACTTATTATGCAAATAATTATTCAAACTTTTTTATTCCTCTCTATATTGGTCATTGCATTAACGGTATGTAGCGTTTGAACTCCTGCTGGTTTTATTTTTACTGATGTTTTACTGATATATATATATGATTATCATATATAAAAAACTTTTGAAATAAAAATAAATAAATGATGAAAGTTATTTGCATAAAGAACGGTTATATTTTTTAACATTTATCTCATAACTGACCTGTGTCTTGAATTTCATCTTTGCTATGACTTCTCGAAATGCAACGTTTAATTTCCTACAATACAATAAATTAATGTGATTAGAAAAGCCACAAAGTAACATGAATCAACGACGTTTGTTTCATTTTCATCATTACTTATTAATCCTTCCAGGAAAGTAAGTTTTTTTATTGTTTGACAAAGTTTTGTTGTTCTCATTATTATTTTGAATTTACCATGGGCATGGTAGATATTAGATAATAAAAACAAAAATAATTTCAGTCATACTGGAACATATTATAAACTGCCCAGATTCTTAATAACATCAAATAAAATGTTTCTTAAAAAGCGACTTTACCTGCTTCTTGATATTTTCTAGATATTCTTCTACTTGTTTCAATCTTTCATCTATCATAGCTACATCTTCAACCGTTTTAGCAATTTTCATTTCACTGCCAGAAATAACATCTGCTCTGACTTCTTCAAGTTCATCTAGAACTTCTAATTTTTTGTCTTCAATGCATTGGAGAGTATCATCTCTTGTGGTGATTATATTCTCTAAAGCTTTCTCTTTTTCTTCTTCGATTGTTTTCAAGGCTTTCAATGCCTCTTCCCTAGCCAATAGAATCTTCTTCTTCTCTCCCATGTTTATATGAATTTGATTGTCTTTCAACTAGATAAGCGAAATCAAAACTGCATGAAAATTTGTGCATCAATAAAATAAGCAAAATATATAAACTAATGTCTTGTTGAAAAAGTCATTAAAATAGAATAGTTTCTTTTTTGGAAAACCCTGGCTTAAAAATAGATTCAATACTTACTTTAAATAACTTTTTAACAGCATCTTGTGCATCTTTGTCGTTAAGAAGAGTTTTAGGGTCGTGTAACACCGCTACAAACAGGTCGATGTAGTAAAATAATTCCTGTTCAGACAACTTCATTTCTGCTTTGTGTAGTATTTCGTTTCTTGCATTCCGAGCCTTGCAAAAGAGACATGGATATAAAATTATCTTTGACATAATAATTCATCAAATAAAAGTATATAAATAGACAAAACCTACCAATTTTCCTATGTATTATCAATCACTTTGATATAGTTATTAAACAATAGTCTTCCTGGGACAATTTTGTTTTTGCAAATCATTTACTTGAGATTATACGAATTCATTGCATAATCTCTTCTTTTTTTTTACTTTTAATCAACATAAAAAAGGTTGCCTTTCATTGATATTTTCGAATTCTTAACCTATATTATTTAAAATTTTGTATGTAAGTTTTTTATTCATGTCTTATGTTTAGGTGTTTGTTAATGCAATTATCCTTATAATAATATCCTTTCTGTTATGTAAAATCCACAGATCGACGAAACACACATAAAATATTTTTCTATTATCATTTGGACGTTCTTTGCAATGGCAAGTCGTCACACATACATTTCGCTATAAACAAGACATTTTGAACACGGATCTCAGTTAGTATAAAGTAATAATGACAAAAACAAATAAAAAAAACTACGAAGATGTAACTTATCAACCATTAAACACCCATGCGGAAATCAATAATTTGAAAAACGTAAAAATATATAGACAAAATGGCATACTAGTTAGTACCTTAGAGAAATCATCTTTCCCCGGATCTATCTTACATGTTAACTTCTGTTGGAAGAACTTTGCATTCACAACAATACTAAGAAGTCCTGCAGCGTCCGTGGATTGTGCTGAATTGGCAGTACCACAACTTGATGTCATGAAGCATTTTGCTACAAACCATACATCTGAGCACCATTTTGCAATGTCTGAATTTAACCAGAGTGGGTCGTTACTTCTATGCTCCTGCACAATAAAGTGATACAGCTTACTACAAATACCATTTGGACATAGCCTTCTTTTGTTTTTCTGTATGTTACAGTAACATTTGTTCCTATCTTTGCTGTTACATTTTCCGGCTGGGTGGTCGGCAAGTAAATTTGCTTTAGTGCATTGATTGCAATTAACTTGTCCCGATGCGAGAGGCAAACCCTTGAAGAAATTTGTAACGTTTTCAGTGATTTCTGTAGAAACAAAAGGAGCAAGTCCCTGTTGTAGATACTCTAGGCCCTTGGCGGCTCTGACCCAGTTCTTGTAATCAGGATTACCTAAGTCTTCATCATCGTCATCGCCGCTTGTCTCAATTAAGTCTTCCGTGTCGCTATTGCTGTCTGTATCACTCATGTTTCATCTACTCAATGGTTTGAAGAACACAAAAAGTTCCTCTGAAATTTCAAAGAAAGGTGAATTGATCAGTTATGTATAGCGAGTTTCGCACTCATGAATAATTAACATGTTTAACTTTTTGAGTGCTTTCAAAGTAACATGTCTATGCCACATAGAAAGTCAGCGAAGACTTTGGTTTCTGTAGTCTAAATAGACACTGCACGGAAAACACAATTCTTAAATAAAAATCTCCGAAACTAAATAGTTTGAAAGTAGGTTTAAACTTAATTAAACATTTAAGGACATTATGCTTCAGAAACGAAAAACAATCTTCTTTAGATAGGACAAAATAGTTTTATATAAAGAAAATAGATATCAATTATGAGTGCATTGTTCGTTTGAGTTTAAATGCGCAGGAATATAATCACGAATGCTGATTTATTTCTAAACCTTTGAACGACCGAAATTTAAACCGACAATTTTTTATAAAACATAATATAAGAAAAAATATCTATTTCCATTCTGACAATCTTATAAAAACCAGAATTGATAAAAATATGTAGTCTGGATTACCTGCCCCTTTTACCACGTTATCGCAGAATACAGTAGGCGAAGAAATAATTTTCATGACGTCATTATTTTTATTGACGTCATACATGACGTAATATGACGTGGAAGTATTCGTTTTTCATGATGTGGATAATTATATCGTAAAATAATGCAATTGTTTGCCCTAACCGTTTGATAGTGGAATATATATAATAGTGTTAACAGTCATTCCAGAAATTTATGCTGTTTTCAGATATGAAAAATGATACACAAGGGCCATGATGGCCCACGCACACCTGTACTGGTTTGGGAGATAAACTCGGCCGAAAATCAGTGTTTTGGGGGCATATTTCATTTATTTGTTTACGTATTCTGATGAATCTTGCACCATAATAAACTTCAGCTCTTCGATTTTGCCGTATCACCATAAAAGTTTTATTTAGAAATATAACGGGTCATTTTGAGAGGCCCTGGAAGAGGTACGTAAAAAGGATATTTTTAACGCGCGCGAGTAGATAATTCCGGCTCTTTGTTTTTCTTCTTAAATGAGTAAGTTAAAACGTAAATAACATTTTTATACATTTTATTATTTCTTTGCTGTTCATTTATGTCAAATAAAAAATATTTGTTACCAAAATTGTTGAATTACATTAGTATATAAATTAATGAATATCTATGATATAGAGGATATTTGTTTGTTTTGCATGTAAGATTGAAATATAATTTCACTGAGTGAACACCAGATGCAATATTTTCACGAGTGGCGTAGCCACGAGTGAAAATATAATAGCTGGTGTTCACGAATGAAATATATTTCAATCTTATATGTAAAACAAATAAATTTTCTTTTTATTTTATGCTTTTTCAGCGATTTTAAGTAATTTTTACTGATTTTGCCGCGTAACATCACGCATTCTCCTTTGTGACGTCATATATATCATGACGTCACATCATCAGTTTTGAAATCTAGTTCCGTTGAATTTCTCTAATTTTGTTAAATTTCTAACATGATCTATGATGACATTGACTTTCTTTTCCTAAAGAAGCAAAATTTACGTATGACGGCATTTATTTCTGCCTGTTATTCCATTTAGTTATGATTTTCTGTTCATCCGCATTCAGATATAGTCCGGCTACAGTGAAAATTATATTTTATAAATTTCACTAGTGGTTTATCAGAATATAATCATCTGATATATTACAATAAAACACTGGAAAGCATGAAATAAAACACGATATTTATATGCAACGTACTATGTAACATATAAATAATTTTTACGTAAAAACACATGCATTATCATTTATTAACGTATAACGAAATATGTAGTTAAAGAATTAGTGATTCAAATTTATATTTGCTTAGCTTAACAGAGTGCAGAAGAAATTAATTTAGTGGTATTCAACCTACACAATAACATATAAAAGGAGCATTTAACATCAGTCTTTCAATCCATTCCACTGTGTAATCAGCCTTTTTTTCTGAGTTAGCAAGAAAAAAGTGAGTCTGAATTTCATTTACAAAATGTATGCGTAAACGTCGTCTGCTTTACCGGTAATCGGTCAATATATAAAAGTACCCCTGTGCAGGCCTCAAAATGAGCATCTGCTGCACATGCGCACAACAATGGGATTCCCGTACTTTTTATAGGCATGTTTTGTAAACAAACAGGTAAAAGTCTGTGTAATTTTTTAAATATCTTACCAAACTTGTCAAAATTTCCAGATATTGTCGAATTCCAGCGATAGTATGAGATGGTGAGCTTGATTAGATTAAAAATTCCGATAACTCGATTTAATTTTAAAAAGCCGAGTTTATCAACCAGCCGAAGTTATCTCCCCAACCAGTAGATAGGCCCCTTGGCCAAGGGCAATTTTAAACAAGGGGCTTTTATTTGAACAAATTTGGTAGACACCCATTAGATCTAGAAGATGTTTCATGATAAATAACTAAGCTCTACCTCTTTGGGGGATTTATAAGAAGATTTTTTAAGTTTCTACTATATACATATAAGGAAAAACAATGACTCCCCCCCCCGAGGGGCCAATTTTGACCCTATGGCTTTTATTTGAACACACTTGGTAGACACTCACTAGAAGATATTTCATGCTTAGTAGCTAAACTCTGGCTCTTTGGGTTTTTATAAGAAGATTTTTTTAAGTTTTTACTATACACATACAAGGAAAATCAATGACCCCTGGGGCGGGGCCAATTTTAACCCAAGGGCCTTTTTTTTAACAAACTTGGTAGGCACCCATTAGAAGATGTTTCATGCTAAATATCTTAGCTCTAGCTCTTTTGGTTCTTTAAAAGAAGAATTTTTAAGTTTTTACTATATACAAATAGGGAAAATCAATGACCCCTGGGGCAGGGCCAATTTTTACCCTAGGGCTTTTATTTGAACAAAATTGGTAGACTACCACTAGAAGATGTTTCATGTTTAATATCTAAGCTCTAGCTATTTGGGGTTTTTAAAAGAATTTTTTTTTAATTTTTACTATACACAAATAAGGAAAAATCAATGACCCCCCGGGGCGGGGCCAATTTTGAACCCATTTATTTGAACAAACTTGGTAGACACTGACTAGATGATGTTTCATGCCAAATATTTAAGCTCCAGCTCTGACGGTTTTCTAAAAGAAGATATTTTAAGTTTTTTTCTTTCGGTTGCCATGGCAACCAGAGTTCTGCTTGGAATTAAATTATCTGACCAATTTTTAAGGTTGACTACCAAAGGAACATCCCTGTGAAGTTTGGATGAAATTGGTTTAGCGGTTTATGAGGAGATGTCGTTTAAAGTAAAAGTTTACGGACGGACGGACGAAAAGCGATCACAAAAGCTCACCATGTCACTTTTTGTGGCAGGTGAGCTAATAAAACCGATCAACATCAATTCATGATTTAACAACTTTTTCAATAAGTAGAATGTAAGGCAACTTATCTCACCACATGTGATAGACTTAAAAACTTGCTACGACTCAAAATATACACCTTATTTTCAATGAAACGGAAGTTAAACTTCTTTACAGGGTCAAATATGAAGGCTTTTACTGTTCTAGATCTCAGTTAATAATTAATAACACCTACTGGCAAGCAGAAGATATCTTACATATGAAATATACAGGATTCCTTGATACAAAAGACCATTTTTATGGAAAAAATAAAACAGAGAATAATTGCAGTTAACAGGTAAATAGGTTCAAAACATTACTATTTTCTGCATAGAAAACAATTGTGAAATGAATAAAAAGAGAGAGAGAGTGATGCACTTTTCTCATATTCAGCTAGATCTATATAGATCTACATATTAAAAAGAAAACACTAAAAATATTACTGTAATCAATTTTATCAAATTATGTTTTCTTGTACTTGTTAGTATTACATGTAGAGACAGTAACGGAAGTTAAACTGTCAGATATTTGCTGTCAAACATTTTATATTTTACCTCAAATAACTTGTCTATAATGTATATGAGGCAAGTTGAATAAACGTTATGCAGCATGATTGTGCACAATATAAACTAACAACTACAGCCTACGCACAGATCTACAAGCTGCAAAAACAAGGCAATGTTTGTAACAGTGGTATATTTTTCAATGTAATGGCTTATGATATAAAAAAGAAATTCAAACAAAGAATATTTGTAATAAAAGACTTGCTTCAAGTGTTAAATATTTGGAAATCGCTGTTAAGCAAATACAGGCATTCGCTTGAGAAATGGTATCAATTATATGTATTTTACTTATGTAACAGATGTTAACAATTTTGCAATGTATGTTTAAATAAATTTAATCTCCAATGCATAAACTGACATCCACGACACTGGCATACATTCTTACAATCTAAATATATCTTTACAGTTTCTCTGATTTGTACCAACCGAAATAATTAAGGTAAACATTTTGACAATATTCATGAATAAAATTTATTTGCCATTTATGTAAATATGTCATATATAAATTCGTTATATATTCAAAAGGAATATTTGGGCTATATATGACTTACTTGAAAGAATATTGCAAATACCATCATCTTGTGTTCAGATATGTGAGATCATAATGAACTGTCTAAAGAAAATTCGAAAACCAATGTTAACTTTGTGACCTTGACACCCAGGGACATCAAATTCCACAGAAGGACACGGAGTCTATTCATTTTATCTTTCATCAGTCAAAATAGGATGGCTTTATGAGGAAAACTAGAATACTTCATTCATTATTCATTACGATCATGACCTCTGTAAATTTACACAGTTTATATATATTTGTATCTTTATCAGATATCATAGTTATTATTCACTAAAAAGGGTTCTTTGACAAAGTAATGAAATATATATGAATATATAAGAGACCCTTGCACTTGTCAAATGTCACCAAACGTCAAGTGTTATCAATTTGATATGGCACAAACCAATTACAGAACAAGCACCTTAATACTAGGTCATCACGTTACGGACTTGAAAGCTGTGTTTAATTTTTCATTAATGATTATTATTCTGTATCAATGACGGTATTATACTGGTTAATTCAAAGAGACCAGAATCATACCACGCAATTTACGTATACAGAACTCTAAAGATGAACGTGTCACATGAAGTTGTTTTTTTAATCGTAGGATCGAGTGCTACTTTCTGTCAAACAACTTTGTCTATGCAAAGAAAGACAAAACCGCAATCCGTTTCCCGAACAGCCTTGTTTTATCAAAAGTTTTGTCAAAAAAGTTACGATCGTTAATAACGGTATATGCTTATGTATAAAAACATTGTGTTAAAATCACATTTCTATCTTTTTGCAATCAAAGAATTTAATTAATTTGTATTTTAACTTCCGTTACTGCACAGATACATTTTCCTACGACATCAGCATCATCAAACATATATATGGAAGTACAAACATTTTCAAATTGCTACTTTTCTCCATTCATAGAAATACAGTTTTCACGAAGATAACTTTATCTTTCGAAAGAATCAATTGTGACGTGTTTAGGCATAATTTCTGGTGTTTGAAGCATTGACACATTATTTCTATCAAAAGTATCGATTTACTAAACTTATAATTATACATAATAACGTATCTGGGACATCAAAATATTGCAAAACAGCATAAATTTCTGGAACAACTATGAAGAGTGTTAGAATGTTTAAATAATGGGTTTTCAGCATTTTAGATTCAAGAAGATTCATCACTTGAGAATATTGGAGTGGAGGTGAAATTATTTGTCTTTAAAGTAGTAAAATGTACAAAAGTTGACAACCATACAAAATTCTAAATCATATAGATCTATAACTGCATTACAAATTGCCAAAAGGACACAGAAGCAAAACGTAATTGGTCAATGAGTAACCTTTTGTAAAACTTTCAGGCGACATCGGCAATATAAAAGCTTTTAAGAAAAGAAAATTAAAATCATTTCTGAGGTAGCTTTAAATAATGGGCCTTTAAAAACTTCAGTCATATCGTGACCCTTATCTGATTTACATGCACAGTTTATCTAATGAATAATAAGGAAAGATTATGCAATGTAAACTATCTTTTCATTTTATCTTCGTTTTATCTTGCTGGCATAATAATGTTATAATTCCCGTTAAAAGATTATAAAATGTATATGTTTTTGATAAATGTTATTCCTAAAAAGGTTTCTTATCCTGGATACAGAAAACCAATGATTAATGTAATCATGAAATTACAAATATTGAGAACAGAAATGAATAAAAAATATGCATTATTTTAACGCTGGCATATATTACTTTCTTCTTCCTTGTTTTCAACACAGATCTATTTCAATCATTGAGTAGAAAGCCATGAAAGTATAAAACTCGATCCGTTAAACCACATATTACCTCTCCAATCTGGCTTATTTTTATAACATGTTTTAACCTTACATTTAAAATTGTCTATATTATGCACGTCCATATTTTGTTGAACCAATTAAAATAACAAATATAATCAAAATTAAAATATAATGGTTTAAACTATAGTTACCTGATAACAGCGTCCATTTTGTTTCCTCAATGTCATGTTAAATGCACGTGACTATACATGTATATGCATGCAGACAGATAGTGCAGATAAATACGACTGATGCACTGTTATTAAAGGTTGTCTCTCTTAGTTGCAGATATTTTAGAAGCCTGGAGAGTAGGAATTATGATAATAATACAGTCATACCTTCATTAATCAGCCAGTTAAGATATACTAATGAATAATTAGATATACTTATACTAGTAAATGAAATATTGACAAATACTGATGATGAAATAAATGCATATTTTCATTTTCCATATTTTCTCTGTAAAATTTTTTTTTGACGGCAGTGAAACATATTTTCTGTATTTTCAGGTATCTTGCCGGACTACTTTCTTCTTAATTTGGACAATACACAAACTTAAGGGAAAGTCTTTCGATTTGTAAGTTCAAAGAAGTACATAACAGAAAATACAAATATTTATTTCCACCGTGGTATGCAAATTATAACATTTCACCCGTGGCTACAGCCACTCGTGAAATATTCATTTTCATGCCACTTGATAAAATAAACCACGTATTTATAGAAAAAAACCTGAATATTCATTTTCTATATTTATGGTCAAATTGGAATGATATGCATACTCTGAAGCTTGTCAGATACAGTTATGTTTTAAGAACAGAATATATCAATTACAGGAACCCCGCTGAGGCACAAACGCTTAAAAAAACAAACTTTTTTAAATTACAACAACATAAACTGCACCTGGGCACTTAAAATCGAAAACACACGGAATATACTCAGAATATGAATAAATTGAAAATATTTTTCCGTCCGATCCCTTGTCCGATTTTATTAAAGGCGTGTAAACGCTTTTTAATCTGAGGCGTAAAATGGTGTTATTTCCTTGACTTTTTAATGTTGATGTTTTAAAAACACAATTCATTTATGATTAAAATGTTTTGAAAAGGGAATATACTAGCTACAATCTACGAACAATGACGCATGCAACTGACATGAAAATATTTCAGCACAGCTGGTAAAATTATACTTGTGCTGGACCTCGGGCTGTAGCCCTGAAGCCCGGGCCTGAACTGTCATATTCTGGTACATGTATTTATAAGGTTTTATAATTAATATTCTGGCTGGATTTTTACGAACAGAACACATACATGTACACCTAACTATTCATTTTCATGAAACAGAACTACTGTAGACTGTAGTAGTGGGGAACGAATGGGAAAGAACTGTGACCAGACCTAAACGATTTTAATACTGAATACTTATTGTCAAACTGAAATGCAAAAAAAACAAGAAGGCCATGATGGCCCTGAAATCGCTCACCTGTATATAGGCCCCTGGGCCAATGCCAATTTTAAACCAGGGACTTTTATTTGAACAAACTTGGTAGACAGCCATTAGAAGATGTTTCATGATAAATATCTAAGCTCTTACTCTTTGGGGTTTTTATACAAAGATTTTTTAAGTTTTTACTATATACATATAGGAAAAAACAATGACGACCTACCCCCTCCGCGCCCCCCCCCCCCGAGGGGCCAATTTTGACCCAGGGCTTTTATTTAAACAAACTTGGTAGACACTAACTAGAAAAATTTGGTTTTTTAAAAGAAGACTTTTTAAGTTTTTACTCTATACAAAATAGAAAAAAACATATAATAAAAATCAATGAATCCCTGGGGCGTGGCCAATTTTAACCCCCATTATGCACGTCCATATTTTGTTAAACCAATTAAAATAACAAATATAATAAAAATATAATGGTTTAAACTAAAGTTACCTGAACAGCGTCCATTTTGTTTTCGTCAATGGCATGTTAAATGCACGTGACTAATCTTAATATACATGTATATGCATGCAGACAGTGCAGATAAATACGATTAATGCACTGTTGTTTTAGTTGTCTCTCTTAGTTGCAGACATTTTTCAAGCCTGGAGAGTAGGAATTATGATAATAATACAGTCATACCTGCATTTATCAGCCAGTTAAGATATACTAATGAATAATTAGATATACTTATACTAGTGAATGAAATATTGACAAATACTGATGATGAAATAAATGCATATTTTCATTTTCCATTTTTTCTCTGTAAAAATTTTTTTTGACGGCAGTGAAGCATATTTTCTGTATTTTCAGTTATATCTTGCCGGACTACTTTCTTCTTAATTCGGACAATGCACAAACTTAAGGGAAAGTCTTTCGATTTATAAGTTCAAAGAAGTATATAACAGAAAATACAAAATTTATTTCCACCGTGGTATGCAAATTATAACATTTCACCCGTGGCTACATCCACTCGTGAAAAATTCATTTTCATGCCACTTGATAAAATAAACCCCGTATTTATAGGAAAAAAAACTTGAATATTCATTTTCTATATTTATGGTCAAATTGGAATGATATGCATACTCTGAAGCTTGTCAGATACAGTTATGTTTTAGGAACAGAATATATCGATTACAGGAACCCCGCTGAGGCACAAACGCTTTAAAAAACTTTTTAAATTACAACAACATAAGCTGCACCTGGGCACTTAAAATCGAGAAAAAAAAAACACGGAATATACTCAGAATAAATTGAAAATATTTTTCTGTCCGATTTTATTAAAAGCGTGTAAACGCTTTTTAATCCGAGGTGTGAAATGGTGTTATTTCCTTGACTTTTTAATGTTGATGTTTTAAAAACACTATTCCGTATTGTTCCATTTATAATTAAAATGTTTTAGATAAGGGAGTATATTAGCTACAATCTACGAACAATGACGTATGAAAATGACATGAAACTATTCCAGCCCAGCTGGTAAAATTATACTTGTGCTGGACATGGGGCTGTATCCCTGAAGTCCGGGCCAGAACTGTCATATTCTGGTACATGTATTTATAAGGTTTTATAATTAATATTCTGGCTGGATTTTTACGAACAGAACACATACATGTACACCTAACTATTCATTTTCATGAAACAGAACTACTGTAGACTGTAGTAGTGGGGAACGAATGGGAAAGAACTGTGACCAGACCTAAACGATTTTAATACTGAATACTTATTGTCAAACTGAAATGCAAAAAAAACAAGAAGGCCATGATGGCCCTGAAATCGCTCACCTGTATATAGGCCCCTGGGCCAATGCCAATTTTAAACCAGGGACTTTTATTTGAACAAACTTGGTAGACAGCCATTAGAAGATGTTTCATGATAAATATCTGAGCTCTTACTCTTTGGGGTTTTTATACGAAGATTTTTTAAGTTTTTACTATATACATATAGGAAAAAACAATGACGACCTACCCCCTCCGCGCCCCCCCCCCCCCCCCCCGAGGGGCAAATTTTGACCCAGGGCTTTTATTTAAACAAACTTGGTAGACACTAACTAGAAAAATTTGGTTTTTTAAAAGAAGACTTTTAAGTTTTTACTCTATACAAAATAGAAAAAAGCATATAATAAAAATCAATGACCCCCTGGGGCGTGGCCAATTTTAACCCCAGGGATTTTATTGGAACAAACTTGGTAGACATTCACTAGAAGATGTTTCATGCTAAATATCTAAGCTCTAGCTATTTGGGGTTTTTAAAAGATGTATTTTTAAGTTTTTACTATGTACAAATAAGGCAAATCAATGACCCCTCCGGCCAGGGCCAATTTTGACCCAAAGGCATTGATTGGAACAAACTTGGTAGACATTATGTGATATTTCATGCCAAATATTTAGCTCTTGGGTTTTCTAAAAGAATATATTTTAAATGTTTACTATAAACAAACAAGCATTTGATAGTATTGCGGGCAATACAGTAGTCCCCTACCGGTCCCTCAAAAAGTTCTTTAATTGTCATACACTCCTGTGTATTGCCATTTATAATGAATTTGAGGATGAAGTCTGTATTTGAAAATATCGACCACAAAACATAATAAAATAAGTTTGTCTATATCACAGTAATGTGTTAAGTTTCCATGCTTAGTAAGGAAATTAATGTTTATACAACCTTGTCATATTATTACGATGTGGGATTTTAAAGTAAATCCTATAAGGAATGAAGAAGTTGGAGTCAAAAATACCAGTTTCTCGAAAAAAATCTAAGTTCAAGGGGGACATAATTCTGGAAATAGTCTTGCTAGAGTATTTAACCTTCTCAAAAAATGTCGAGTGATAATAAGAAACATATATATGAAGTTTGAAGTAGATACATTAGGAAATAAAGAAGTTATTTAAAAAAAGACAACATTTTTTCCCCTAAAAAATCTAAGTTCAAGGGAGGTAATACTGATATTTTTTGTGCTAGAGTTATAAACCTTGTCACATATGATGTGGTTGATGACCAGAAACTTATATTTAAAGTTTGAAGTAAAACACCTTAAGAAATAAAGAACATATAGTGAAAAAGCTGAAAATTTAAATCAGAAATCTTGAAATTCAGGCTATTTGTTGCCATAGCAACCAGAATTTTCAACATAGGAAGAAAAGAAAAAGATGTGCATAATCTCCAGACTGCCATCTACCCATATTTCAAGTTTCATAAAAAATATTTTCAGTACTTTTTGAGATATCACTGGATCCAGTTTATGTGTTAAATTTGCCATATTTTCAGACTATTTGTTGCCATAGCAACCAGATCTTTCAACATAGGAAGAAAAAAAAGACGTGCATAATCTCCATACTGCCATCTATCCATATATCAAGTTTCATAAAAATATTTTCAGTACTTTTTGCGTTATCGCGGGATCCAGTTTTGTGGACGGACGGACTGACAGACTGACAGACAGACAGACAGACGGACAGACAGACAGACGGACAGACGGACGGAGGGTAAACCTAAAGTCCCCTCCGGTTAAACCGGTAGGGGACTAATAAGGAAAATCAATGACCCCCAGGGGTGGGGCCAATTTTGACCCCTGGGCATTTATTTGAAGAAACTTGGTAGACACCCACTAGAAGATGTTTCATGCTTAATATTTAAGCTCTAGCAATTTAGCTATTTGGGGGTTTTAAAAATTTTTTTTTTAAGTTATTACTATATACAAATAAGGAAAATCAATGACCCCCCCCCCCCCCCCCCCCCGGAGCGGGGCCAATTTTGACCCAAGGGCATTTATTTGAACAAACTTTGTAGACACTGACTAGGTGATGTTTCATAACAAATATTTTAGATCTAGCTCTTGCGGTTTTCTAAACGATGATATTTTAAGTTTTTTTTTTCTTTTGGTTGCCATGGCAACCAGAGTTCTGCTTGGAATTAAATTCTTTGAACAATTTTTAAAGTTGACTACCAAAGGAACATTCCTGTGCAGTTTGGATGAGATTGGCTAAGTGGTTTATGAGGAAATGTCGTTTAAAGTGACAGGTGATATAATAAAACAAGAGGGCCATGACGGCCCTGAGGTTGCTCACCTGTATATAGGCCCCCGGAGCGGGGCCAGTTTAAACCCCAGGGCTTTTATATGAGCAAACTTGGAAGACACCCATTAGAAGATGTTTCATGATGTTAAGTTTTTACTACACACATATAATGAAAAACAATGACCTCCCCCCCCCCTTTGGCAGGGCCAATTTAAACCAAGGGCTTTTATTTGGACAAACTTGGTAGACACCAACAAAAATATGTTTCCTGCTTAAATCTAACCTCTAGCTCATTGGGTTTTTTTAAAAGAAGATTTTTTAAGTTTTTACTATCACATATAGTTAAAAACAATGACACCTCTGGGGCGGGCCAGTTTTAACCCCAGGGCTTTTATTTTGAACAAACTTTGTAGACACTTACTAGAAGATGTTTCATTCTTAATATCTAAACTCTAGCTGTTTGGGTTTTTTTCAAAGAAGATTTTTAAGTTTTTGCCATACACATATAAGGAAAATCAATGACCCCCGGGGCGGGGCCAATTTTGACCCTAGGGCTTTTATTTGAACAAACTTTGTAGACATCCATTAGAACATGTTTCATGCTAAATATCTTAGCTCTAGCTCTTTGGGATCTTTAAAAGAAGATTTTTTAAGTTTTTACTATATGCATATAGGGAAAATCAATGACCCCCTGGGGCGGGGCCAATTTTGACCCCAGGGCTTTTATTTGAACAAACTTGGTAGACACTCACTAGAAGATGTTTCATGCTTAATATCTAAACTCTAGCTATATGGGTTTTTTCAAAGAAGAGAGTTTTTTAAGTTTTTGCTATACACATATAAGGAAAATCAATGACCCCGGGGCGGAGCCAATTTTGACCCCAGAGCTTTTATTTGAACAAACTTTGTAGACACCCATTAGAACATGTTTCATGCTAAATATCTTAGCTCTAGCTCTTTGGGTTCTTTAAAAGAAGATTTTTTAAGTTTTTACTATATGCATATAGGGAAAATCAATGACCCCCTGGGGCGGGGCCAATTTTGACTCCAGGGCTTTTATTTGAACAAACTTTGTAGACACTCACTAGAAGATGTTTCATGCTTAATATCTAAACTCTAGCTATATGGGTTTTTTCAAAGAAGAGAGTTTTTTAAGTTTTTGCTATACACATATAAGGAAAATCAATGACCCCCGAGGCGGGGCCAATTTTGACCCCAGGGCTTTTATTTGAACAAACTTTGTAGACACCCATTAGAACATGTTTCATGCTAAAAAATATCTTAGCTCTAGCTCTTTGGGTTCTTAAAAGAAGATTTTTTAAGTTTTTACTATATGCATATAGGGAAAATCAATGACCCCCTGGGGCGGGGCCAATTTTGACCCCAGGGCTTTTATTTGAACAAAGTTGTTAGACACTCATTAGAAGATGTTTCATGCTAAATATCTTAGCTCTAGCTCTTTGGGTTCTTTAAAAGAAGATTTTTTAAGTTTTTACTATATGCATATAGGGAAAATCAATGACCCCCTGGGGCGGGGCCAATTTTGAACCCATGGCATTTATTTGAACAAACTTGGTAGACACTCACTAGAAGATGTTTCATGCCAAATATCTAAGCTCTAGCTCTTTGGGGTTTTTAAAAGAAGATATTTAAAGTTTTTTCTTTTGGTTGCCATGGCAACCAGAGTTCTGCATGGAATTAAATTCTTTGAACAATTTTTATAGGTGACCACCAAAAGAACATTCCTGTGAAGTTTGGATGAAATTGGCTTAGTGGTTTATGAGGAGATGTCATTTAAAGTAAAAGTTTACGGACGGACGACGGACGGACGACGGACGGACAGACGCCGGACGAAAAGCGATCACAAAAGCTCACCCTGTCACTTTAAATTGTGACAGGTGAGCTAAAAATAAAACACAAAGTATTGTTTCAAACATTTTATTTATTCAATTGTTGTCTTTATGTAAAGTATCTCATTCAACAACTGCCATTCAAAATTTGCAAAAACAAACAATTCTTGGTCCAGACCAATTTAATAGACTGTATCAAAGTCAGACAGAAATTATTTCATCCTCATTTAATAAAACTATTAAAGTATAAGACTATCAACAATAGTTCTTTAATGTTCATTTTTACAAGATAAATTTCATTTGCAATATATTAAAGAACAACTTTCATTAAAGATTTGATCTCTTTATATGAATCATAAGGTTTTGATACCATCTTAATCACTAAACTGCAGAATTCATGCAATGGATTTACCCAGCTCCCAATTAATTTGGAACAGTCCATTTGATGTTTATTAGATTTTAGTATCAAAATATGAAAATAATGCTAGCCTGGTCAGACAGCATGGATGTGCATACTGGAGTAGCTCTATTAAGGTGGTAAAGGCTGATCTATGTCTGTTCCAGCAGGTTAAAGGTGGGGTTTTGTTGAATTTTGGAAAAATGACTTTTGCACTACTGTTCTACACATTGTAAGTTTAGTATCAAACTTCTTCAATTGACACAGGGAAAGTAAAAAATCCGGTAAAAATGTGCAAATAACTGCTTAAAACATAAAATTTCCCCAGAAATAAAGTTTGAAAATGTATTTAAATTTCTTAATGATATTTTTAATGTCTCTTGGAATACAATATGAGCCGCGTCACGACAAAACCAACATTATAGGTTTGCGACCAGCATGGATCCAGACCAGCCTGCGCATCCGCACATTCTGATCAGGATCCATGCTGTTCGCTATCAGTTTCTCTACTTGTTATAGGGTTTGTAAGCGAACAGCATGGATACTAATCAGACTGCGCAGATGCGCAGGCTGGTCACAAAACCATTATGTTGGTTTTGTCGTGACGCGGCTCATTTATGTATAAAGATAATGAAATTAAGCATTTGTTTGTTGCAAAATAGGGCTTGAGATATTTTTTTAACTTCAAAAACATACTTAAAGTTTTTAAAAATTTATTCAAATATCTACACACATGAACATTTCTTGCACTATTATGAGTCACAAAGTCTAAATTGAGTATTTTTACAGGATCATTTGCAAAATGTAGGCATATTAAATGATTGCTGCAACATTCGTTAATATAAGCATTCATGTTTTAGGTAAACACAATTTACATTTTCAATTTATCATTGTTTACTAATTTTGTCATCAATGTATAAATGATCCAGTTATATAAACATGATAAAACATGATTACACATTTGGTTAAAACACACTCACAAAAAAACCCATGTAAGTATAACAAAATATAAAGCAAAAATCATGCATAAATCTTTGATCAAATTCAAAATATAAAGGCATTCTATCAACCCTATTTTTATCATGTCACCAACAAGATATATGTATATATCATTTTTTTTTTATTTCTAGCGATTTGATGTATACTCAAATCCTAAAATTGTATGCATTCTTTCTTTTACTTCGGGAAAATACACTTTGAAATATATAAAATTTCTAGCAAATATTATATTTTTCAAATCAATATACTTTCCTTTGTCATGGTCACTTATACAACATTTAAAGACCCTGTTAAAAATAATTATATTCTGTGGCTAATAGAAACTGTACAACCATAAATAATTTTGAGCATAATTCTTATGTTTATTAAACCAATACTTTAAAAAAAAAATTTAGCTAGCCAATTTCATTAGTAGGTTCAGCAATATATAAACAATTACTTAAGAACTTTACCATGTCAATGACACTTCATAAAGTACTGAAGTCGGCCATTTTTATTATAATCCATTGTTTTTTAGGGGAAAAAATCACAGTATAGATATATTAGATATATAAAATGTACAGATATATTCTTTTGCTTTCTGAACCAACCAGAATAAATCCATAAAAATTTTATGAGATGCATAGTGTAAAGATTTTTTATGGAAAACAATCACAAAGTTGCCATTTTATTTCTTCCCTTGATCTTGTAGAAACATAAAGGCGGAGGAGAAATCCTTGCCACCATATCCGTGATTTGTCATAGTTCTATACATCTGGTGGGCGAGAGATCCCATCGGGGTTGGAGATTTCATAGCAGTAGCGGCATTCTGTGCTAAACCCAAGTCCTTATTTGACGAGAAAAAAAAAATTAATGTTAGTGTACCTTATAAGTATATCTACATCATGGAGAGAAAAATTCAATACAAAGAAACATTGAAACATTTTAAGTAGCCTTTTTCAGAAGAAATCAGAAAATTTAAGTAAGTAATAACATATTCTAATCAAGTGACACAGAAATCTTCAAATTTTTATTAGAAACAAATATTTTTATCCTTTCTGTGCCAACAATACAGCATTACTCACAGTGCCATGTATTTACCTACAAAACATGTTTAACATTCGCTTGATTATGAAATCTAGTTACTGATAAAGTTTTTTTCCTCTCAACTTACAGGCCTTATTATGTCTGGTTTGTTCTTGATAAATTTTCTTTTTATCATAATGTTGTTGTCTCCCTTGAAATTTTATGTTTAAAATACATGTACTTTGTATACATAACACGAAAGCAAGCATTCATCCTCTTTTAAAGATTCCTTTAGTTCATAGAAATATCCCAGGTAATTAAATGTTTAAATTTGTTACTGGGAAAGGGTTAAACAATCTTCTGATTCCATTTAATTTATATCAAACATTATCTCTTCAAGCTCCATTGTGAAAAAAAAAGCTTGTAGTTTATCTAAACCACTCTTTAGTCAGCTCAGTGTTTTTTTTTTTTTTTCTTTATATAACTACTACCTGAAAAAGGTACTATTCCCAATGGAAGATAGACAATAAATTTCCCAATTTCTCATGTTAAATTTACCAAAATGACTGTTCAAAATGCCCACAAGGCCAAGAGATTTCTCTTAAATCATTTAAATCCAACATATTCATATAAATCACCACTCAATAGTTCGACCTGGACAATGGTAGCTGTTACCTATCTTTATTCATAATGACTAATCTTATTTGTAGCAGAAAAAACGCATAATAAAAATTCCCAATATGTGTTAAAATAACATATTTTCTCAATCTGGTACCGGCACCATTCCCAAAGTAGAGAAAAAAACATTGCAGCTTTCTGGAACAAACCAGAACTGGTCACATATGAAGGTGGATAATCGTGAGTCTAGTAAGGCTTAGTTTTCACCCAAGCCGACAGGAAGATCTTAAACCCGGGTTGACCCAGAGATTCATATACCATACCCACTAGACTAATACTATCCTTTAAACAGTACATGTATTTCACACAGGCTTTACCTAAGTAAATCCTTCAATTAAAAGAAATAAACTTTAGCAAGCATCACTTTTTATATTTGACTTTTGTTTGTATATTTTCAATAAAGATTTTTGTTTACATATAAAAAACTGGATTTCTTGGTACAAAGATCAAGTTCTATTGCCTATTGGTCTTTTTTAAAAAATATTTTTCTTCTACTTTGAGACAAACCATTTTGTAATAATTATACTGAAATATCATTGTATGTGTTTAAACTTTATACCTTAGTCATGAGAGCAGTTCCGAAACCACCCTTGTAGTCATTACTGGATGGCACGCCTTCTAACACCCCCGGGCATGGATTATAAACCTCTGATGACCAGCATCTACCCGAGCTCATATTCAAAATCTTTGCAAGAAGTTTTGGGTCCAGCCCTAACCTATAATGAAAATGTCATAAATTTTAGTACATGGCACATGTCATTTATTGAAACTGAGGCCAACTGCAAATATACTGAACAAAAAATATAAATTGTGTACTCTTTTCATTTCTATAAAAAATTTCATTTCATAATAATCTTTGTTTTTTTTTAAATGCATGAAAAATAACCAGGAAATCTTTCATGTGGTTTACAGGTTAAATGATTATCTCCCTTTCTCTAATGATGTTTCAGTAAGTTAATTATATAAACACTCTCCATTTACTATGTCAGGACATAAATGTTTCATTTGTATTTTTGCAACCAGAATTCATGCAAAGAAATAAAATGTACGACCAACTTTACCCTAAAAGAAGTATTAAAGTTATTCAGTGCAGCCTCTGCAAATTGGCCCTTTGTACAGCAATTATCTCTTCACAACAACAGTATCAATTTTTCAAACTTATGACTTTACAATAGCTCTACTCTCTCGAGAGCAACTAAGCAATTATCAAAACAAATGTCCCTTAAAGGGTATTGCTTTGTAGATGTTTTACTGTATATCATAGATTAACTTACTTCATTCCAAGATTCATGGTCTCCGATGTACCTATCATTGATATGCCAAGTAACATATTGTTACAAATCTTTGCTGCCTGAAACAACAAATACAAATGCCTGAATAGTGATTCACTCACCCTAACACATTCTACATTCTTATTCTCTGGCCAAAATTATACACATTTATGTTACAAAGTGCATGCTTCAGTTGTTCAAGAATCTTGATATATAAAGAATTCCCTCTTCTTATATGCGAAATCAAATTTAGCTTACTGAATCAAATTTTTTTTATTCTCAAATATATTTGCACAAATCAGGAAACAACTATTAATTCTAGAAGTATTGCTGCAGAATATGTAATGCTTGGTTTCAGTTCAAACATTTCAGTTCGGATGCACAGTGATATTATCATGACATTAAAATATCTGATTACCTGTCCTGTGCCTACAGCACCACAATGTACAACATTTTTCCCCATCAAACTCAAATATTCACTGGCTGCCTGGTATGATGCTTCTGAGCCGCCAACCATAAAAGTGAGTAGTGCATCTCGTGCTGCATTTACACCTGATATAACACAAACAATTCTTGAAACAACAACTTACTTCAATTGATTTTTATCATTCCTAAACAGTATCTAACATTATAACTTCCCTAAATTTATTTTTTTGTTGGTTTTTACATCACACTTGACACTGTACAGGTCATAAGACGACTTTGCAGCTTTACAGGGGGAGGACCGCACCTGAGAAGTACCACCTTTTTTTCTTAAGCTAGCTGGAAAGCTCTCTTACACGAAAGAATCCTGATCTTAAGTCCCATCAAGATTTGAAGACACAGCAATGAAGTGCAAGTGGTTTTATGTATGTTCAATCAGTCAATAGAACCATTAAAGACATGTAATGTGGTTTGCAGTTGCGTACATACCCCCAGCACAAATTGTGTGCTAACCTGTGGCTTTCATGTACTTTATATATAGATATGTGTTAGAAACTAAACCTACTGACGGGTATATCATTCAGGCATGTTTTTTGCATTTATATAGTCCCTGTCTAAAATGTTTAATTTTACTGACATTGAGTGAACTATTATTACTTTGGAACTGACATAATTGTTTCATAAGTGCATTACCTCCAGACACAGGTGCATCTACAAATGCTGAGCCCATTTCTGCAGCTATACCTGCCATTGCCTGTGATACAGATGGGTCTATTGTACTACAATCCATTAGTAAACTGTCCTTATGTAACGTGCTAAAAATAACAAAATTTCCTATATTGTAGTACAGCATAATGTACTTCTTTTAAAATAAGACTTAAGCTAATCAATAATGCCATTAGCAGGCACAATTGCCTTAGATATACATCTGTATATTGTTTACAAACACAGGACTGGAAAAATCTGATTTTGACTTACTTGTACCTTTTTACCTGAAGCATTCCAAATTTGTCTGTATGATATTTATATATTAATTTCTTGAAAATTTCCACTTGTCAGTACAGGCTGTTGGACAACCTGGGCAAATTGGAAAATTGATTTTGCTGGCCCAGAAACATATGTGTATTATTTTACTGCATCAACATGTATATGAGCCGCGTCATGACAAAACCAACATAGTGCATTTGCGACCAGCATGGATCTAGACCAGCCTGCGCATCTGTGCAGTCAGATCAGGATCCATGCTGTTCGCTTACCAACCCTATTACAAGTTGAGAAACTGATAGCAAACAGCATGGTTCCTGATCAGACTGCGCAGATGCTCAGGCTGGTGTGGATCCATGCTGGTTGCAAACGCATTACGTTGGTTTTGTCGTGACGCGGCTCATCTAAGGTTTTATGTCCTCATCATATTAAAACAAGATATGTTTGTAAAACATGTATGCCCCCTATCGGCAGCCAATTTGTCATGTGATCAGGTTATTATGCATGACTTCTGACCCAGTGAACAAGCAATTAATAAGGGTTATCTAGTATCTTCTGGTCATGACTAGTCACAAGGTAATAATTATTGTGACCCCATAGGTTGTGTGCAGCAATAAAAGTTATTAAAATTCTTACCAAATAATATATACATAAATTTTATGAATCACATAGGCCTCATTAATGACAGCCAAGTTGTTATATTACATAAGACCTTCAAATGTGTATACCAAAAGCACATAAAAATATCAACCAAGGCAACTTGAGTTGTTAAGTTATTGGTCAGAAACGGTCATTAAAGAAAAGGTCACTATGACATTGACCCCTTGACCCCAAAATCAATAGGGGTCATCTACTGGTCATGACCAATCATCATACCAAGTTTGAAGTTCCTAGGCCTAAGGGTTCTTTAGTTATTGATCGGAAACCGTTTTTACCTACAAGGTCAATGTGGCCTTGACCTTTGACCCCAAAATCAATAGGGGTCATCTACTGGTCATGACCAATCACCATACCAAGTTTGAAGTTCCTAGGCCTAAGGGTTCTTTAGTTATCACTCGGAAACCATTTGACAAGTGCAAAGCAATATACCCCCTCTTCTTCAAAGTGGGGGCATAATAATCAAATACCCGAGTTCTTAATCTCAGCTTTAAATCTAACCAAGTTCTTGTGGGGTTAAATTGATACTCCTACAAATTTGAAACAAGTTTTAAAACCTATGGATACCATGGTGGAAGATATAATTTCTGAGACATCATAAAATAATGACAAATCATACAATGTGGTATTTACCTAAATATACCACTATCACCAGTGTATACAGTCTGTACATGGGCACTTTCTGGTAACATAGTAACGACCTTGGTTGCCTCGGACGCGACCTCTGCTGGGGATCCCGCAGCTGTGGCACCTTGAAGTACAGATATGGTTCAATTATAGAACATTGCGAATCATTTTTTTTATCAATTTGTGAGTGTGAACTTTTTTCATCCAAATATTACTAAATATATTCTATATAGCTATCTAGCTAATGTAAAATAAAACTATATTTACTGATTTCCTAGCAGTTTCTGGCCACAAATCACACTTTTTAACAAATAAAATAAAAATCAGTCTACGGAGGGGTACAAAACTTTGTCAGGACAAAGTTAGGTACCTGTCCAGCATTGCCATTTGTTCAATTTTGCACTTTCATTTTAATTTCCTTTTAATTTGAATATAGGCCTGAAATGTAACACCTTTTTTACCTTTATTTTTACCTTAACTCAAAAATTCAAAGTAGTTTTCCAGACCTTTTTTATTTTAAATATAATCCAGTACCATAAAGCAATGTTAAGATGGTTTTATCAAACAAACAGAACTTCCCAACCTTTCCTGTGTCGTCTGCAAAAATATTTTCTGAAGTATTGATTTACCTGTCTTATGTAACTTTAAATAGCAGGCAAAACTTCAAAACATAAATCGTTGTACTATTTTAAATGCTGTTTAGCATAGAAAACAAATGTCTCTCTGATTGATGAATTAATGTGGATGCCTCACTGGTAAAAATAGACTGTACTGGACGAAAATGATAAACGGCCGGAAAACTGCTAGGAGACGGAAACTGCTAGGAAACCAGTAAACTGTACAACTTGAATTGCTGTAGTAAATAATATTGTGTACGATAAGTACTATGTACATTTGTATAAGCCAAAAAAATTTTCCTTCTTATCAATCAAAAGGGTAAATATTCCTTTAAATGTTCGCAAAAGATTATATCTAAAAATATTATCAAATAATTCTCATTCTTTGTATTCTTATTTTTTTAAAGTATAATTCAAATATATATCAACTGTATCCTTCTTTCACTTAAGTTTAAGAAAATACAAGAGTATCTGCAATTATCTTCTAAACAATACAATATCTTACTACAAATTAGCTTACCAGATTCCTTTAAACTGTTGACGAGATCTTTCGAGACATCATACACCACCAACTTATGGCCATTCTTGATCAAATTCCTTGCCATATGACCACCCATATTTCCAAGGCCAATAAATCCTACCTTTCCTGCCTATAAATCATGAATAACACAAATGTTATCAAAAGTCAAAACTGCTAAGGAGTCAAATAAATTTTAAGAAATGTTTTACCATTAAAACATTCAAAATATTTGATAAGTTATCATTTATTTTAAGTGATATATACGGTATAACTGCATTTTAATAAATGGATTTACAATGTAATCACACATTTGCCATTTAAAGTTTAAAACTATCTACAAAATTCTTACAATATTACAGTGTCACATGAATTCTTTAAAGAGATAGAAAAAAATCTTTATTTATACATGTATGAGAAATAGTCTGGCACTTCAAATATCAACATTATTCCTTTGACATAGAAAACAAATCAAAGTAAAAAAAAAATTAAGAACGATGTCTTACCATTACTTTAGTTGAACCTGAAAATAATAAAAAAAGAAATATGCAAGATATTTGTATGTAAATTTTTACTCATTTTATCTATATACTAATTCACATCATTGAGAGCTTAAAGTTAATAGATTAAAGATCAAGCTAGCATTGATTATAGTACATGTAGTACTCCCCTTAGGTACACAGGCCCCACTGATGGTAATCCAAACATGCACTTAATTTACATATGTACTGCCAGTACGAGTAACATATAGGTCAGTAAGAGCACAAAGTCTTTCTCTTTCTGTCAAATTTACAGAAATATTACGAACAATAGTAACCAAAGGCGTCACCCTAAGTGCCCGCAACATCTGAGTACTGAAAAATATGACTATACTAAACATGCAAATCTTTTGACAAATTCTAACTGTCAGATCAATTTGGATTCAGATGAGATAGGAGCAGACTGTATTTATCCAGTAGGATGAATTAAAATAGGCTCATTGACATTGCAGTGAAGACCATAAGAAGGGTCATTAATTTTTACTCATATTTTATACATTAAAAAACAAATTTGCAAAACGTTTTTATTTTTTCTTGGTAAAGCTAGAAAACTATTGAAAAAAAAAACAGTTGAAAAATACAATGTAGCTAAATGTTCTTTTTTAAAAGCAAAAAATAAAAATCTGCTTATATTTCAAAAATATAAATGTAAAGAACTTTCAAATGATATAAGAATCTAAAAATCGATCCACAAATTAAACAGTTATTAGAATTTAAAAATTCTGCTGCTATATAATGCATATAAATATTGGTTCTTCTTGCCAACCAGCAAATGTGCTAAATTCTGGTAGCAGGTGCTTGTGATGTCATCGTTCAACTTGTCTATAATGTTTAAAATACTGCATCTACATGTAATTGTTTCCTTTTCAATAGAGATATCTTAATTTTACTAGCATACAGTGATACTGGTTTGATTAGACCAATTTTTTTTGACGGACTATAGTTACACTGTTCCAAATAACTTGATTTTACCATTACTTCTGTCATAATTACCAAAGTTCAGCTACCATCAGTTGACCAGTTATTGTGGTAACTGAACCTATAATTTAATTAAACTGTCATTAAAATCTTATCACAGCTACAGTCTACATGCAGCAAATTCCACAGACGCTTGGGGTTATGTGCGTGGCTCTCCTTCTTGATCCGCACTTGTATACACCACGTCTATTTTTATCGTGCAAACCGTACGTCAAAATATTTTTGCATATCATTATGACCTGGCCACATGTCCTTGAACATAAAACATGTTTTCCGCTTATTTTAACCACGTTTAAAAAGTCCCTAGAATATCATAATTTCATTGAAGATAACAACGTACGCTTTCCTTTGATGTGAGATGACTGAATGAGTTTCGGCACTGTTTTGCGCTTTTATTTCATGCCGAGAACCAAAACCCCACAAGCGGTTACTTTCCCCTAATCAGTACAGAAAAAACCAAATCAAGAAGACTGACGGAAAGGGCCGAGTGTTGCGATTGAATTTTCTTTTTCCCAGCGATTTTCCCGCTGTAATTTACGGGAAACATTCCAGGTGGTCATTGAATTCGTAAAGAAGCATGTGACTCAATTATGAAAATATAATTAAATGTGCCCAAAGCTTGGAAGAAAGGTACGATCTGATTTAATAACATGCAGTTATTTATTAAAGGAATATATGCATCGACTGATTACACCAGAAATAAATGGCATGCGATAACATAAATACCTGAAAATATGTAGGTCAGTTGTGTTTACATTTCGAAGGCTTGGTATCTTCAGGAAATTGAAGCATTGGAAAAAAAATTGACTTTTTAAAAACGTTATGAAATTCTATCAAACTTGTTCATGTGTTAGACAACTTAACCGTCTCATACTAATAAAAAGCACAAATTTAAAACTTATTCTTGTAATAAACAATACTTTTAGTTTTTAATATTCAGGGGTGGAGAAGGGCGGGGTCCATACTCCAAGTGTCTGTGGCAAATTCTTTAATTATGAATAATTATCTTACTCTAATTAAAACTAGTAGATTTATCTCTAAATTGCATTTTGCAAATCTTTCAGTAGTCTGAACATGTTTGGACAACTGATGTATAAAGAAATACTGATAAACAATGGAATTACATCCAACTGTATCTATTGTGTTGTAAACATTGTTAAAATTATGAAGGTGACCCAAATAAAATCTGTCAATTAAGAAGATCGACAAATTGTCAAGCAATATAGAAGCGTGAAATGGAAACAAAAATATAAATTGTAAAATATGCATACTAGAAAAATATTTGTAATGGCTGTTTCTAGAAGCATTATGAGTTGAAACTGCAGATCGCAGAAAACTTCTTCCAATTGCTGCCATGGCTGGGCTGTATGGTACTGCTCACTTTTGCATATTACCTTTCGTGAGCGCCAAAAAGCAAGGAACCAGTAATGAACTTCTGTACAAATATCTTTCGCCCTATTTAAGTTCGCACTCACAAACTTTCGTCTCTATTTTGCGTAGTTTCTGCACGTGCATAAAAACACTATTTAATCGTAAAATAATATCTAGATATTTACATGTATAAAAACATAAAGTGCCTTTGACAAACATTTTACCTGTACGCAATACCATGAACATTTAATTACCGGAATCCCGACAGTTACAAAATCTTTTCGGTAGGATAATGGTTAATATATGATATGATATGATATGATATGATATGATATGATATGATATGATATGATATGATATGATATGATATGATATGATATGATATGATATGATACAGTAGGATAATGGTTAATATGATATGATATGATATGATATGATGTGATGTGATGCGATGCGATGCGATGCGATGCGATGCGATGCGATATGATATATGATATGATATGATATGATGTGATGTGATGTGATGTGATGTGATGTGATGTGATGTGATGTGATGTGATGTAATGTAATGTAATATAATATAATATGAGAAGAGACGAGACGAATGGAGACAAGACAAGAAAAGACAATGATTTTATAAGATAATATAATAATTTTACAATACAATACAATACAATACAATGTAATACAGTACAATGTAGTACAATGCAATACAATGCAATACAATTCAATACAATACCAAACTATATAATATAATTAAAGAAGAAAAAATAGATAAATAAAATATGTTAATAATTTTACTTAAACAACTGTAATTTCATCTTTAAGTCGTCTGGTCATAAAAATAATTCTTTAATTGAAGAAATTTGTACGACAATTTAATCTTTTTTTTTCACAAACAAAAGTAAATATAAGGTAAATAACAAACATGTAATTAAAAAAAGGTTTCTTTGTGTATAAAAACAACAACAACAACAACCAAACAAAAATAAGTTTTGTTTATTAGAAACTAAATTTTTTTTTTTTAAATTTTTTAAATTTTACCATATATGGTAAAATTTAAAATGTAGCCCCAATTTAATCATTTTAGATACATAGTTCATCTATCCACGAGCACTGTCGCATGTACTTTTGTCACGAAATATATATACCGGATATCTTAAATAACTATACCGGATACCTAAAACAAATAGACAAATCATTTATTAGTTTTCAAATAAAAAAGCCAAAACAAAAGAACCCAGTATATAATTTCATAAACTAATTATATAAAACAAAATCGTTCAGATTGTTTTATAAGTCTATCAGAAATACAGGAATATGTTTTAAAGAAGAGATGATAGAAGTGTGTGGGTAGATAAGTCACTTGAATAAGATTCACTGACTTGGAATTTACGAGTAATAAAATGGCGGACGGTATCAGTAACAGAGGTTCTCAATTTGAAACCAATAAAACAGGTTTGACTTTTTCTAAGAATTTTATAATTTAATCTATGTTTATTCTAAAATTCAGACAAATTTATTTTGTACAGGGAATTTTTTTGTCTGGGGGCTAAAACCCAAAAAAAAGAATCAATTTTCCCCGGGGGTTCAAATTTTTTTTTAAAACAAAAACCCCAAAAACCGAGTGGGATAAACCCGTGCTGGGTAGGGTTTGTTGAAAAACTTTCTTGATACAATAAAAAAACGCTTTGGCGGACAAAAGTGACATCATTTCTTTTAAATTAATGTCTCCCAAAAAGTTCCCAACCCGGGCCCTTTTTCCCATTCATTGTAAAATTTGACTGTATTGACTATATATTTCAAAAGATTGACTGTTATAATGGTGATTGGCCAACAGTTGATATTAGAAAATTATTAGGATAAAATATAAAATAAGATTTCGATATATGTAAAATTTTCTTTTAACATTCGAATACTTCGTCGAAAGTATAAGATTAACGTTGGTTTGGTGTACCGGTATTTTGATTTCATGTCTTTAACCATCATCGTCATCAGCATTGTTATTGCAAATAAAGTTGTTGGTATTTTTACTTTTGCTGCTATCATGAAATATAAATCTTCTTTTAAATGTTGCACACACATGCGCGCGCGCACGCACAATAACAAAAAATCCAGTAATATCTAAATTCGCCTTTTAATTGATACGGAAACGAAAGAAATTGCTGACGGTTTGTTAAATCTATTTATAGACGTGCATGTTAAGCTACATGCTGCTGTCAAAGACTTCCATCAATATCAAAATTTAGTTTTTATACTAGATTTGCAACATTAAGATTAACCAATGCTTTATTTTCCTGATGTAAACTTTATCTCTGAATTGATTAGCCATATATTTTACATTATTGATCCGTCCCCAAACGAAATAAAACACACATAATCGATATAATAAAATTTAACTTGAATACAGATACAGTGTGGTTTAAATGCATCCATTAAAATAAAATACCGGTGATCAATATAAACCTTGGTAAGAACGAACTTATTAAACAAATGGTGTTTTATTACATCGCTATACGGGTATTGTAACTATTGTTAAGTTAAACAATACCTTTTACATGAATGAAATAAAGTCAATTAAAGGTATTATTGCAGCTGCTTGTTTTTCAATATCAAAACGACAATAAATGCCCTTAATTTGCGCTTAGTATAAAAAAAATGTTGCAGCTAAAATCATATTTCAATCTAAGATAAAACTGACTGAAACTGTGGTTTGTGAAATGTAATACAAACATATAGAATATAGAAAAAATCTAATATAGACCCTAGAAAAGCTGATAGAAACCCTTTGGGTAATTACAAAAAATGCATTTAAAATTTCCCCTTGATGATTTCCGTTTTAAAAACACAGGTAATTTAGCGTTTTTTAAAATTTTGGAAATAGAACCCTTTTTACCCCGCTACTTTAAAACTAAAAATAGCTGTACAAAAAAATCAATTTTTTAAAGGAAAAAAAATCTATCCAATTTTTTTTTTTTAAAAAGATCATTCAATGGGTCACACCAAAAAATTTGGTCCCAAAATTTTTTGGGATAAGCGATAAACTTACTGACTTTGAACGGATTTTCAATGGTTTAAAAAATAAATATCAACAGCCTGTTCATAGTTTGGTGGGATTGATCGGATATTTAAGTTCGAGGTACACATATTTCTGTTTCAGTATTTTAGATGCTCGCTTAAGAGAAAAAAAAACCCCAAAAAACTAAAACAGAACAGAACATCTTTTCATTTTATGGGTTTTAATAGTGTTAAGTTGCAGTACCGCGTTTATGTTCCTATTTCTGTTATAAATGAGCATAAAATAAAAATATCGTCATCGAATTCGATTTGTTTTATGTAAAATACATTTGATATTGATATATTGATTTCAAATTTTAAGAAATATAAATGTTTAAACACATATATAGTGGTAATATCAATAAATATGATAAGCTATATGTTATTTGTGTGTGCAAAATCAATTCGCTTTATGAAATAATTCACGAACGTCAGCTATAATTGCAATAGAAATGATAAAAAAAGTTTTTAAAAAGTTTCCAGAATGCAACAATTAACATCCTAAACGTCTACTATCAAAATAGTACATCACTCCAAAAGTGATGTATATCAATTTATTTATTAAAAATTATTTATTATAAAGTATTGACGGTATGCATGACTTAAGAGCAGTCGAAATTTCTATATAATGATTGGCAATCATAGAATAATCCAATTAATATCTTTATATTAAAATGTTTGTTTATTATCTTTTATGTATTTGATATCCATGTATATGTCTTCAGAATTACCACTTGGAATAGATCTAAAGATGGATTTTGGCGAAAAGAGTAAAGTTATGGAGGTGTTGAACAGAGCCTTTGCTGGTTCCGTTGTCGATAAACACGTGGCATCCGCAGCTATTAGGGAATTTGAAGGTATGTGATTGCTGCACTTATTTATTGCTTATGTAGACTTTACTTCTATTTTTATTTACGCAAAGGTTGGTTAAAGAGCAAGAATCAAATATAATGGTTCAATATAATTTTATAACTTTTGCAATTTTAGTGTTTGAGTGTATGTTACAAATATCAGAGATTTTTTTCTTTAAAAACTACTTAGATTAGTATTTTTCAGGTTTATTGGACGATTTATATAATCAACCTCCGAGATGGGAGGTAGTGACCATGAGAAGAGAAGAAGTGGAAAACATGAGAGAGATAATTAAATACCAGGAACAGAAGATTCGTGATATAACAGAACGGTATGGAAATAGTAATATCACACAACTTTTGGTCGTCAACAATCTTTCCATCAATATCCAGTCAGGGAATATGCCCATAACTTTAAAGTTTTCATTATCAATAATAGGTCATACTTTGACATTCTTAGCTCGAAGATTGGACTATAACAAGGTGACCACCCACAAGTGGCATGTTGTATGGTATATGAAAGGCCCATTATGTTTCAGAAAAGACTGATTTTTCCTTCTTTAAAAAGGGCAAACATTAGTTTTATAAAGTTTAATTAATTGTTTAAGAGCATGTTAAATGATTATAACCCTTAAAAAGAAGCGACGTGGACGTGAAATTTTTTGTCAAAATATAATATAAACAAAGTCCTTTCATAATACTGAATCACTATAAATGTACTAAGCGCCATATAGAAACAGACGACAATTGGCCAATGAATACATTTTGGAAACTATATAAAAGGACATACCCGTACAAATAATAATTATAATAACAGAAGCTTTTGGGCAATAAAAGAAAAAGCATTTTTTGGGAATAATGGACCTTAAATTTATTAGCAGCATTCCTGGTATTGTTAAAATTGGTGATATACAGTTATTTTTTATGTTATTTTCTGACGACGCTGTATATTTTACAGATAAACTAAACTTACTACAGTCTATTTTGAATTCAGTCATTTATATGGAATTTAAAATGAAATGCTTAAACCAAAGTGGTGATTTTTGAAAAGGAAAGACACAACCTATGATCATATGATTTCTTTTGACATATTACTAGAGTTGAAATGGTAGAATCGGTGAAATATATATATCATTTAAATGTGTCTTTTTTAAAAACAGGAAAGGAACATACACAGTTCTGTATAGATTATTATATGTAAAACAATCAACCAATGTATATGTGTAACTTGGTGAACATTGTCGTATTGATCAAATACTGCTTAACACTATTTAAACTGAAAGATGGAACTAAACTATATAAAACTTTTATGATGTTAAAAAACCAATGCCGATAATGATATTTATAATATTTAGACCAACTTAAACCAAACTGGTTTGTTTTATATGTGGGTAAATAAATTTACAATACCTGTAGATGTACAATAATAATTGATCAATGAAATTAGCTGTGTACTTGATTAATCAGAATTCGGGACCTCTCTATCCAGTAATGAGTGTCCTTGAACTGGGCCACTGTTACAAAATTTAAATAACAACGAAGAATTTTGAACTAACAATGTGGACAACAAAAAGCTGCATCAGTTTGTACGGTCTATAATGATATTAACATAGATAAACTTCTTGTCTTTTATAAGGGTGAACCAAATGAGTAGAGGAGAAACACCAAAAGAACCATTGCCAACAGAGAAAGAAAAACTGGACATAAAAAGAAGGTTCGATTTGGCAGATAGCTTTAACTCGATATTTGAGAATGAGTGGAAAGCTGCATACTCTGAACTACTAACATATATGAGATGGAGAGATCCTGAGTGCATCTATTCGCTCATGAGGATAATACGTGTGAGTTTTAATTAGAGTTATCAATGTAATTGGTCCATTAATAGTTTTAATGTTGAGGTTTGTATGAGCCGGTGATGGGGTGGTCAGGAGCATGGACGGTAGCTTGCATTCACAAGTGTCATATGCCAGTCACGAAAATCAAAGTTGTGGAGGCTGTAAAAAGTACCCCCGTACATTCAATTATATATGTTATATTTCCGATCCTTAAAGATCATTCAGCACGACATTATTGTTGTGTTTGTGGTATTTTTTAGTTTCAACTACATTTTGCATTTGGCTTCTTCGATTTTGGTAGTTCCAATATTCCCGAATCACTCTTAGAATATGTTGCCTGCTTTCTAACTTTGTCTTTTGACGACTTATCTGTAATATACAGGCTTCATAACGTCTGATCCCCTTTCAAAATTCCATTTTATTTCTTTCCACCCATTGTTTTCTCGTTTAGGGCACACGCTTTCTATTACATTGGGGTCATACGCCGCTTTTCACGGAATGGCACAGAAGTGTCACATTGAAGGTTCCATGATAACTGCCGTATTAACATATCTGCGGATGTTTCTAAATTCAAATTTTGCCAATTCATGTTTAAATGAACCGGTGGTAAGGTTGGTGAACGGTAGTTTGCACTTGACAGTACCGTCCATGAACAGACTCAATCAAACGAAGCCAGCAACATTTTCAAATTTGCCGTTTTGGTAGACACACAACTTTCTTTTGGGATTCTTATTTTCTCTAATTTTGCGGTATAGGGTAACTCTTATGATTTCAAATATCTTAAATTACGGGCTTGTCTTTCTGAATAATTTGAACTTAACAAGTGTAACTAAAGAAAGCGCACGATTGAAGCAATTTCATGAAGTAAATCAAGGAATGCAAAGAAGAAATGAAAAATTTCTCATTAATCTTTTATTTTATAAGAAATCTTTCCTTAATATCATATCGCAATATAATTAAATGTCTCTTTTATTTCCGTAATGGTTACAGTATTTGATACAATAATAGATACAATATTCAAGCGCAGGTGATTAAAAAGATACCACAGTATCATAATTAAAAAGTAATATTTGTAGTTAAATTTTAAAAAATAATTTTCATTTAGAGCATGTTTATTTACAAAAAGCCTCATTACTTAAAGTAGGATATACATTATAAATACATTTTATGAGTTTAGAAATATTGAAAAATTGAAGTATTCTATTACTTAAAAAATAATTATGAAACAAATATTAAAGTTAATGATATTTTATTGCAACAATATTATAAACAACACAAAATAGAGAAAGAAACAGAATCCCTAAAGAACGCCGAAAACGGCGAAATTGAAATTGTTGCAGGCTCGGTTTAATGATCGGTAAAGGAAAGTACAAGTTATCGTCCAAGCTCCATGGCTTCAAATGCACATTTTCGAGAGAAATATTCTAATTGATATTAATACAAAGTTATAGTAAATGATGATTAAAACACAATCTATCATCTTTTCTTCATTTATTATAGAATGCGTGTGATGTATGTATAACTCTGGCCGAGGATCAGATGGACAGGATTGTGTTAAATATGGAGGACAGTGTTATAAACCCACTAAATACAAACGCTGTTAATTTGAAAAAGGTAACTTATAATAAAGCGCCATTGTGCTGTTAACGTTATCGGTATATAAGCGTGCTACCTGGTTGCAGTTTTTCATGAATCAAATAGAACATAACTAATTTGAGTTTTACCTCGTTAGTCTTGTTTTGGATAAGAAATTTATCCTGCATTTAAATCCGTTAGACACAATAAAGTTTCCTTTTTTATATGTTTCAGTTTCATATTTTTATAACGACAAAGATTAATAAAATAAATCATCTACGCATAACTGGCTTATTAAAAACAAATATTTTGTTACTTTTATATTATGTTTCAGTTATTTCAGGAGCATATGGGCGTATACTCGGATGGCATGAAGGTGGCCGAAAAACATGCCATAGACTACCGAATTGAAAGAGCAGAGGCGTCTGTACCAGCAGTAATTGAAGTAACCTACACTTACTCTCAAATATTTAGTTTTAATGCTTTGTGGATTTAGTGTTGTCGATGATGATGTGGAAGATGATGATGTCAATGGTGAAGGCGAAGATAACGATATTGAAAATAATGAAACGATAATGGAAAAACAATTAAGATATTAAATATTTGATACTTTTGACAATTTTTCGATGCTTTTGCATGTAATGCTATCATGATACTAAAGTAAACTTCAAATATTATTGTCTTTACCTAATGACAACAAATGTACTTGTTTTTATGAAACGCTCGTGAAAAACAAAAAGAGATTTACATTCTGCAGAAACTTTTAAAAATAATTTCACTACAATTTAAGTTTTTATTAAGTAAGTGTAGAGCAAATTATGTTACCAAGGAATAAACAGCAAGACATAGCACAAATGTATATATATTTTCAGCTGTTTATGGATTCGAAGTTGAGGTCACTAATCGACCCAAGTCAGCTACGACGTGACGTACGAAAGTATATAGAGAAGGTTGTTAGACTGATTTGGTTAATGACAACATTAGACCCACCAATGAGGCTTTATTGGCAACAACAAACGGAAAGAGTTAATCCGGATTTCTTCGACATTTATGATAGGAAAGGAGATTTTGTGAACCAGACTGTTTGGCCAGCGGTGTTTATGCACAATACTGGCAAGATAATTTACAAAGGTCGAATTCTCGCTATGTAATCCGATCTAGTACTGAAAGACAATGAAATCGCTGAATATATCTAAACTGTAATTGTATTATATCATGGTCATTTGATAGACAACTTAGTAGATTTTAAATTTCGTATTGGGTAAACGATTGATTGGTCTATTGACTTACTTACTAGATTTGCAATATGGTGTGAATGTCGTTGGTTGAACATGAGAACAATTGCATGCAGTACCTCTCACAAAGCCAAAAGAATGACAGCATACATGTCACGGTACATTTGAATCACCCTCCTAATTCTCAAAACTTTGAGAACGTATGAGCTTGTAGAGACGTTCATAATATTTTGAAGTTGTTTTACCAGCAGCAACACCAAAGAAAACGTTACCTTCATAGAAAAGCTATCTTTATTCATAAGCTATATTTCTGTCTGATTTTTTAAGCAAAAGTTGCATTGAATGAGTCCTTTTGCAATGCGCCTGTATGGTTGATACTTTCCTATATGAAGAAGTAACTATTCATGTTATGTGTATTGGCACAAGGGCTTTATTAATTTTAATAATATTTTATTTTTATTGTTTGCGTCCATGCATATAAACAACATCAACAACAACATCCACAACAACAAGTATATATTTTATTGTTTTGACCAGTTACATATTATCATCACACATATTTCATTGACATACATGTATACGTAAAAGTAGAAGTATGGGAATATTAAAAATCACCAAAATGAAAAACAACGCAACAAACAAACAAAAACACCAGAAATACTAGTATTACCGCTCCATTGGTATTAAAATGAGGTTAAAATAGTATATAAACTATATACATGTATCAGTTCTTTCCGTCATATGTTACATACATAATTGCAATATTAGCAATGATTTCAATCAGTCCGATCATCAATTAAGTTGTATACATTAAGTGTTTACAATTAATTGTTTTAATTATACAAGAATATATCGAAATGCAAACACGAAACTATATTTGTCAAAAATATGTTACAAAACTTCTACTTCAATAAACCAGAGTTTTATGCGAGGCAAAAAGCTTCATAGAAGAAGACGTTTTACAGTGTATGATTGTTGGCAGACTGCATTAATTCAACAAACTTATGAACCCTTCGACTACTGTAAGATGTGACTTGATGAATGTTTCCTAAAATGTAAATAAATTGGACATATTAAAACAAAATGGTATTTGTCATCACTTTTTCACATAATAAACACAATCTTTGGTTTATATCATCCTGTTTCTGCCTTACCGACCAAATTCAAAATGAAACGGGTGAGACGAAAGGCGTAATCGTGTTAGAACAGTTCTAATCTTACAAGGAAGAATATCTTAATACATTTTCAAAATCGACTGATCTTTTTAAAGCTTTATATAAAAACAAAGAGCAGCTCAATACAATGTCGTTACACTTAAAAACTTGTTTAAAATATCAAAGACCCGTGCTTTTAATAACAGATGAAATGTTTTTAGATTTACACAGTATTGATTGTGAAACACATGTAAAAACCCATGGTTGTCTTGTAATTTTGAAACATTTACAAGCAAATTTGTTTTACCTAATTTATCTAATTGATTCAACATGTCCGCATACATGTAATTTGATATAATGTTTCCTGTACGAAATTATAAACAATGAAATTCTCAGAAAAACGGAAATTCTATAAAAGTATATACTGCTATATACATGTATGTACCATTGATTAGGATTACTAAGTGTTTTGTTATAGATAATAACCAATCAACGATTCAGTCCATATTTACCGTTTATTTATTATTCAAGGCATTCATAGACCAAATCAATAGACATAATTTCAATTTAAAAATCGATACAATTTTTATAACATGATAATGAACACCGTCACAGTAAATGTCACAAGGCGACTTTGGTGGAATTCGACACCCTGTACCTTTGTACAAGCATCCCCCGAGTAGAAACATAAACCTTCAAATAGCTAGATTGATAGCTGCCTAAAACCAACTACATTTATGTACTGTCATTTCCCATAAACGTTGCCATAGTTACCAACCATTGACCCTTTCCAAATATTGCATTTATTCAATGTTTAAAATAGTCAACGGCATATAAATATATGAAAAATATGATATTCAATTCTATTCAAAATTTCATTGCATAAAACAAATACGTTTATAACAAGGTGCATGTCGTTTGTCAAACAAAAAACATAAATAAATGGATTTTACCTGAAGAGCAAAATTTGTTTTAAATAATTTTTTTCCATAAATTGAGAATTTTATAAGGTCATTTTCCTAGAATATACTAGTATATTATCAAAACAACAACATTCGCAGTTTGCGAAATTAATTCTTACTAGCTAAATCTGTCCTGGTTATGTATCTTTGTAAAAAAACTCGATTGAAATGTTCATTGTAACCAAAATATTAATGTATAACATGTTTTCATGAGATTGATTTCCGCATTACTTATTTACATGTACAGTCAAATATTAGAGTCTGATAAAATATATCTCAGAACAAAATTACCATAAACATGAGACTAACTGTAAACAGTTAAATAAAAATCTCTGAGTCTAAGATACGCTTTGAACATATAAAACATCAAAGCAATGTCATAACTGTAATGTATAGATTTACAAACTTGTAGAACAGAAAATCGGTTTCATAAAAGATTCACTATAAACTTAATTATGGTCGTTAAACTACCATGATATTCTAGACAATATCATGTTTTATAACGCTTTAATATTCAAATTTTATGCGTCATGATTTTATAATAAAACAATGAGTTTGATATAATCATCGACTCAAATTACTATATGAATATAATACCCGTTACATTTTAAATTTCGGTTAGAAACCAAGTATTCCATAAAGTGCCACACCCAATGAGACGGGTCTATATATAAATCAAATGATAGAATATATTGTTACAGAAAGGAGCATGTTAGTAACATATACATACGGTATGTTCCTCATTGCCGCTTCCTTCATTCTATTCCTTTTAAAGGTTTATTGTAAATTTTTACCAACGGAAAACTTTGGAGGTAAGTATTTCTTTTTTTATTTTCATTATCATTTTTTTCTTTCAAAACATTGGATAATTATAGGTTTTTATTTATAGCAGAATTGGGCAAAAAAGTAAAAGATGGTTTAGCAGAGTACCGTTTCGGAGATTTTTTTTGATTAATCATAAATAATAAATAAAAATAACACTTAATGATCTTCTAATAATTTATTGAGATGTGTACTGTTCTTGACCATCTTGATCTTGAATAACAACAGCAACAAGAGCAATACTAAACTACATTTATTCTTTTTTTTTTCTGCTTTATTGCTTTCTTAAATTTTCAAACAATTGTTGGCTTTTTCATCTTTAATTTTTGAATCAACATTTACCTGAGGTTGTAATATAAATTTGCACAAGTATTTTTTTACTTTTACTTGGGGACTATATGCCGCTTTTCAAGGATGGTACATTGAAGGTAACTCAGTATAAAAACATCTGCGGATGTTTCTAGTCTGTGCTAGGGGACGTGGGTGGTAGCTTGCGTTTTACAGTACTGTCAATGAACAAGCTCGATAAAACCAAGTCTGTAACATTTTCTTTTTCTTTTTCATTTTGGACGTCCTTAATGGATTCTTATATTTGCTCTTTCTCATATATTGTAGCTATTTTAGAGTCATGATAGAACATGTTTGTTGACATTCTCTGAATCTCAGTCATTCTGGCTGTTTTGCAGTTTGTTTTAAATTACTTTTAAACTCCTGTAGAAATGTCGATCACTTTTGTGATAATTACATAATTACATATAAAATTATAAATGAAATATTATTTAAATGTAACGTGTTTTATTTCTGAAACAAAAATCTATAATTATGTTAGCAGGGGTTAGTGGAGGATAATAAAATTTTCACTGTTTATTTAGTGTCCTATTTGTCATTTACCAAATGAAAATAAATAGGCAATGTCGTTTCAGGGTTTGTTTCATTAGAATATATTTATTGTTGTGTCTGTTTGGATGTAACACTATGCTCATGTATTTTCATTGAGCTGAATTGACTATATTTCCAAACATTGAATGTAAACTGTGTATATCTACAGAAATTTCCTCGGACCAAGTGAGTTCTTTATCGTTTAGTTAAAGTAGAGACTAAAATTTATTGAATAATATACATTTTTAAAATTCAATTGGCAAACGTTTAGGTAAGTTACAAAGAGGTAACAAGTCAATCTTTACCAATTTTGAAATTTTGCACAAACACTCCAAAAATGTCATCATAAAAAAGCAGAAAAATAAGGTCATCCTTAAATTGACAGTAATTTTATTTGCACTTGAAATATGCAATTTTTTTCAAATTTATTGGCAGTTAAATCAAAAACGCCCTAAGCGACCTATCATATTTTAAGTTCACTCGAAGTTTGATCACTATCTTTTATACAGTTATACAGTTTACGATATGCCTATATGTCTATGTAACTGTAACAAAGCCTTTAAACTTTCACTTTTAATATTTTCTCAAAATGGAAAAGTTATCAATGCGATAAGAGCATTCAAGAAACTCTTTTTTAAATGACACACAGTACACTTAATTTAAAATCATTCCAATGCGATCAAACATTATAATAAAACATAGATAAGTTTGGGCGCCTGTAACATTCTCAAGAAAGACACATTGGAGTGACATTTTGCGTACAAGTTTGAGCTGAAGTGATGTGGTGATTGTTTATGTGTATAGTACGAAACCCCTACATTTATTTTAAACATGAGATAATTTGAAGTTCAAAATAAAGAAAATAAAGAAAATTTCAGGGATTTTTCCGAAATTGGGAAGCGAGTCCAAAATTACAGTATACAGTATCTTCAGCCAATGGAAATAACTATTACAGCAATGCAATTGACCTTATTTGCGTAATATAAATAAACTAATCAAGTTTATAAACCCACCAGTCATCACTGCAGCAATCAAGAACAATACACATCTAATACGATGTGATTTACCGCACCCTCCATGGACATGTTCAATGCAACATTTTCAGTTCTGCCATGAGGTTTCTATTTACTGTATTTTTATGATCATTTCATTTATTTCTTTTGATCGAATCTTTGAATCTGGTTTTTAAAAATATCATTTAAAAATAATTCTTTATTGAAAATATTAGTAATGATTGTCTCATCATGTAAATATTCTTATGTTTATGAATAAAGTTTCTTACAATTCTTAAATGGCCATGTTCGTATTACTAATATGATGGAATAACATGTGTACATGGATATGATTCAAATAAAATAAAATAAAATAAATTAATAAATTAATATTAAATAAATACAATAATGTTACATTTACAATTTAGAATTGAAGGAATGGTTTGAAAGTGTCATATTGAAAGGTCCTTGATAACCGCCGGTTAAACCCTACTTTAGATGTTACTTAATAAAAAAAATACACATCATATTTATTTTTTATGTTTGATTGTTGAAGTCGGTGATACTGGGTGTGGTCAATATAAATGATTGTTAACCATTTTCTTCTCAGTTAAACCAAACCTGCAATATCTTAATTTGCCCGAGTAGGGTGGACTTAAACGTTTTCGTAAGAAAATACTTTAAAAAGCTTGTTATGCTTGACATATTCATATTTAAACCGTATATTTTTGTGAATTTATCCCGTTTATTCTTTCATTGGTACTTGCGCTGCCTGCGTAGATTAAGTAGTACCTTTTGTAAAAAAAATAACTAATACCATTTACAACAAACTATATCCTTTCAGATTGTTTTGGTATCTCATGTATGAATAATGGAAAACTTAATCTCACTACGTGTTTCTGCAATTGTCCACCAGGCAAGACTGGGTTGGAATGTGAATTTGGTAAGACGGAATTGCTCATAAACAACTACATGTTTGAAATTAAAAAATATAAAATATCTCAGTAAATTGTTCAAGCAAATCAACACTGTCTAGAACACTCATTATGTTTTATGCCATATAAAAATATAGTTTTTAACTTTATAATATAATAAAATTGATAGGAGGACTTTTCGTTTTTGATGAATTAAATCATTTAATTGTATGAGTACTGGAGTAAATACCTGAATTTTAGCCTTTTTTTATTAGTACAACATACGAACGAAAAGATTATAAAAAAGATATTTTTTGTAGAATAATAATGACACCATTATAAATGTAACTTAGTTGAAATTATTTGTACTAAAATGA